CTGGCCATTGCTATTGTTGCTATCTTAGCTTTTGCTTGCCAATTCGTCCGTGGTACGACTTAGCCGGTCAGCACGGGCAACCATGTCGAGGCCTCTAGCGTGGTCGCACTTCGAAATGATATAGTACCCAGGTAGAAGGCGATCAGGAAAACATCTGACCATACCACTGTAGCTAGTAGCAAAAAAGTTGGAGAAGTTTGAAAGGAGACACAAGGCGCTTGCGACGTCCTTGCAGTGTCATCTACGATATACGGACAGAAGCATCTAAGCGAAGCTCGTAATCATCTCACGCTCAGCTGATGATATTGAACTTGCGAAACCAGCCACCGACCCCTCACATCGTCTGATCTATTGTGTACTCAATCACTATAATACCCAGATTCAAAGTAGGCGATTTACTGATGTCAAACGGCGGATGTCAGCAGAACACAGCACGCAACAGAAGCACGAAAATCCTTTTTCTGAGCATTAACAGGGACATTGTGCGAAGTGTGAGGTTTAGTATTATATGGTATAGAACGCAGGATATTTCATATGACTCCATAATGTAAACCTACAGATTAGATGAGGATATCTTTGTATAAACATTAACGGTTTATCTTTGCACAGAAATTATTAAGAGCTGGTAAAAACAGAAGTGGTGCGTTGTACGATATTAATCGAATCGGCAGTGGCCAATGAACTTTGTTACTGAGCAACCCCAGCTGCTGAATAATATTTGCATAATTATGTAATTTTTAGCTGTTTTTTTTTAATTCTATGTTATTTTTGGCGATTTCACTAGCGCAGCATAATGCTCATTTGCATTGCATTTACGTATTGTATATACATATATTTAAGAAAAAAAAAGGTCAAAATCATGAGCCGTTCAAATGTATAGCTATAATTCAGCTGAAATACAAAAAAGTTCAGTATGTGGATATGTAGCGGTATATTTGTCAAATTATTTTTCTTTATTTCAATATATTTTTTAGTAACTAACAGATTGTGGCGTCGCAAACACATGATTCTTACCGATCTCAGTGCTTAAGTTAGCAAATGACCTTTTAATAACTTTTCTCGATTTCGGGTCCTGGTAACAGTCTGTTAATTATCTCTTAGCTACAACAAGGTACCAGTCGAGCCTAAACTGATAGCGAGAAACAATAGGCCCTAAAAACATTTCTGCCGCAGCGCACGGGACGACAGCGAAGGTCGAAGGCTTCAGTTAATCTATTTTCCTTTATGAGGCTAAGTTCCAACAAAAATGCAGCAAAACAAAACAAAGCACATTGAAAAATTGTGCATTTTTTGCCCTTCGTTTAAATAAAAAGCTAGAAACAAAGCTATTTAAACGATTACATTGGTTCATGTGGAATAATTGTATAACGAAAGGTCTTGACGCTCCATCGAGAAACGGCTTTTGCAAATGAGCCGAAGGACGACCGACACGGGTCCAGATAACCCCTAAATGTTGACCGCTGTGAGACCAGTACGGTAGTTATATTTCGCCAGCTTGCGTTGGTTGTGTAATACAGAACCTATAGAAAAATACATAGCACAGTGTGACTTGATCGGCTCTTGCATGAAGATCGCGTCATTTTGCAACTACAGTGCCAAGGTTGAATTATATAAATTAATAGATGATATAATTAAAGAATAGTTCAATAGAGGAAATGCTCCTTAGTTCATCAGTTCTATGATGTCAACACACAAACCGATGCCATTTTAGTCCAAATAACAACAATAACAATGACCTTTATAAGAGCCCTTCGGCTCAGCCTGTGAGGAATCTGTTGATGTGAAAAGTTGATATTCGGACGCAAGCAGCTTAAGCCTGAAACGGTCTGAGAGAGGTCCTCATGGGCAACATACCCCTCCCTAGCTTTTCGCTCCGGTACATGATGCATTCCCTGCTAATAATAGTACTAATGGTCATATTGTGTTACTAAAAAATAATGCACGCTATGACTATCGCTATAGATTTTGCTCGTTATCGAATTAGGGTATAAGAACGATTAGGCGGAGCAGCATGACAACCGTTATACAAGCCGAATTCAATTGCTCGTTAAAGTGTTATTATACAGGGGCCATTTGTGTCTAGATAAACGTCCTGCACCGTACACAGTAGTACGCAAACAAACTCATCCACGTGTATGTACATACAATATATGCATATATCTAGTACTCAATCTAAATCGTTGACCGACGTGTATGGAGTACTCAGAAGAACGAAGTCCACATACGACTCAGCATCCAATTAATGAAAAACATCATCGAACATTCGCTGGCCTTTAGAGATGTTTTGTTGTATAAGCAAAAGCCCATTCATGATACATCACGAGTAAGGTGGTCACGATATCAAACATCGACGGCTTTCTTCTATACAACCCAGTAAAAAATGACACCGAAACATCGCGGACGATTTCAATTCAACACCGTGACTACCTTTGCCAAAAATTGTGGAACTTCCCGTTGATCTTTGTCGTACATCACTGTCGTATGCAGTCTACCGTTGTTCGGCGTCATCAGCCTCTTTAAAGGCAGCTCGGTTTCATTGCATATTTATAAAGCTTGGCGGATGGAAGTACGGTCGTGCCGATCTTACTCAAAGTACATAATCCTAAGAACATCTTTGACATTGAAATTTGCAGAACAAAAACCACTTTCGGATCGTCTCTGTTTACGATAAGGCTTCTTGACACTCAGGTAACGTTCGTGCTTTCAGCGTAATAATTTATAAAAGATGATAAATTGTTGCAGGAATCTTGCTCTTCTGCCATATTGGATAAAAATATTCTAATGATGTTTTTTGTCAGAACTCAGCTTCCAAATGACGCTGACAGCGACCCGGTGCAAGTCATATTATCTCAAATATATAACTTCAAAGTCACCTGGCCCTAGATACCATCGATACTTTTCAACTACCCAATATATAAGCATACCCATACAGTGGATTGGGCTCAATATACATCCTAGCTCGGGTCTCCTTTTAATGCGCAATAAAACATCTTGTTGAGGTATTTCGACCGTGCGGGTCGGCAGATATTAAATCGTTACGCCTTATTGCGATAAGGTTAATTATCGCAAACGAACAAGAGTGTTGACACCAGCCCTTATCGAGTGGGAGCATACTCTATCAGCAGGTCCTACCAATACTGTATCATCGTTAAATCACAGAAACATGATAGTATCTCACTCTTTCGATCCGATTCTAAATATTTAGCAAACATTATGTGTTTATTAAAGAGAATTCATATCAAAAACTACCTATGGTTTCTTAGTAATCTACCACGAACTTCTTAGACCTCTACTGGCAGTTGCAGATCCTCGCAGCTGATAGTCTGTCTGCAAACCATTCGTTCTGATTCAAACGAATGTCAAACTGGCCATCGACTGCCAACAACGGAGACAAATAGAGAGGGGACTTCAGATGCGGGTAAGGTTCTGTTGTGCGACGACTTTCATCACAATACTTTATCAATGAAAATTTCTATTTGGACTCGGAACCCAGCGTACGTGTACGAAAGCACTTCAGCAGTCCCCAATCGTTTCGTTCTCCGTGTATTTAGCCAACTACGTTCTGAATATGACTGACGTTAGCAGCTGAGCTTTGAACGTTCTACGCTATGCAGACTGGCTTCGTTAACGTCAGGATGCTCTTAGGAGACGGGCATAAGGTTTTCAGCACATAGACCTCGCTGAAAACCTTTGCAGTGACAAAATTTGCCTTCTAATGCACGGCAAATGTTGGCAATGGCATCAATCGAGCGGCTTTTTCAAGCGCTACTAGCTAACCTCCAGTGGGTTTTTTTGTACAGTGATGAGCATGCTTCAGATATTTAAACCTGTTTGACTATTCCATGTTTAATGGTGTATTATGTATTGCAGATACTTCATAGAGCTAAAATTACCATTCGGTTATCGAAAATTGAGTGTTATTAGGCAGTAAGTTGCTTTTCTTATTAGTTAGAAATTAAATTTTTAATTATAATAAATATTAACTTTAAGAACTTTTCCTCATGGTCTACAAAGATACGAATTTATTTCCTTCCACACTGATTAAAACCTTAGTTCATGTGAGTATATTCATCATGTTTACACCCTAGATCTATAAAGCCCACACTGGTCTAGCGGATCGCGCAGCTTGAACCCTGTGTATATATTGCCAGTTCAATTTCGAAATGACTGTTTACCTATAGAGCCTATAGAAAAATACTAACTTCTATTGGTGAGTTCTTTTTTACCTATTCGGAGGCTTCCAAGGCCTAATTACATCATCCACTACACACGAGTATGTTTGTCGCTTTATTCAGAAGTTCAGTGTACTTTTTCTATAAGAATTTTACTACTACCCTACGCTATTTCATGCGGTTTCGATAGCGCTATACTAATGAACCCTATGGTAAAAAGACAAATTAATTTCGAACATTTATTTCAATAGAAGTTTCATTAGGATTTTTGTAATTTTTTTCAGAGAGGAGCATAGATCAAACTCGCAGGCCGAGCTTTACCCAGTGTGCTGTAAAACCAGTTGCTCAAAGAACGTCTTGTCTACACTGCGCTGGTGACCCCAGTTCATCAAAAATCACCTTCTATCAGGTTTTCATAAAGAAGTCTTCACGAGGACCATGAAACATAGTTCATACGGATCAAGCTAAAAAAATGAAAACAGTTCATTGGAATATACGATCCGTTAACGCGATATCGGTACAAAACACATAGCTAAAACGAAAATGACGTTTTCTGAAAATCATTTGTCCAAAAATCAATCAATGTATTTGCACAAAATGCCCCTATATAAATTGCATATTAAACCCATTGTTACTATAAGTCTATGCAGATGCACATTTCTCTATAACAAAATTTTATTAGACCATGCTTGAAATAGGCACTGCTCGCTCGTACGCCCACCGACAGTTTCATTGGAATAGCGATTATTAATTATCTGTTTCCTCCGTGATTACTCATTTTATTACTATCATTATTATCGTTACTATCAGAAATTATCATAATTATACCCTTTTCGCAACCCTTCAGAAATCGTCGAACGTGTCCTCGCACTCCCGTCCAATTCTACAGTCGATGTAGATGTCGATATACACCCGTCAAACATCCGGGACACGGTTCGTACTCAGTTTTCGTCTCGAGGATGACCGAACACCGGGCAGCTACAGAACGGCGACTCATTAGTCCCGCGAATCGGAGCTCTTCTAGTTCTTCACCAGCCCTTTGTTTCTTCTACTTCTTGCGCGTACTGCACTGGCACGTAGGTGTGAAACCAGCGATAATTACACTTCGCCGACAGACAGCCAGTGAGACCGAGTTTCGAAAGCATTTCGAAGTCAACTCTGGCCGAGACAAGAGCAAGGGGCATACACTCATAATTCCGATAGCCTCGGATATTTTTTATATATAGCACAAGGCATTTCAACGAATGTACTATAAACCGAAGCCGGAAGTACGACGAACGGAATGCTCGAGTGACGTCGCCCGTCGTCGGCAGGTCTGGGGCGAGGCTGATATGGGGTTGTAGTACTGATTTTAAATGGCACGACGGTAGCAATGGCGGTAGTAAAAAACGAATCCATCAAAGAAAATAGACGCCGATATATCGATGGACTTGATGCTCCTGTAAATTTAGTTTCACTGTCTGTAATGTACGCTCGAGCTCATAATTCGAGGGGAATTACCGTGCGGCTGCTACGTCTTAATATTAGTGTGAAAATATATATTTTAGTGATAAGTTTGATTTAGCAGTAGAGCGTTTCCCCGAATCGCGCCTATCCTAATAGAAACATGATCCTAATAGCGTAATCAGAATATCTGTATTTAAATACACCAGCGTTATACTATATTTAGACATAGTAAGTTATGAGCCATAAGTAAAGTAAGTGTAAATAATTTTTCGCCGTAAATTACTTGTTCATTTAATGATTTATGTAGCTACCACTGGTCTTGCAAGCCGAGCAGAACTATAAGTAAGGCATAACAACTAACCAAATTGTTTTGAAGCTATTTTCAGCGACTCTAACGCCATACCCCTTGTTCCGATAAGAAGTGATATTTTCCTAATTATCAGGACGTACAGGGAATAGACGACACTGTTACGAATTTTTTTTACGTTGCCCCATTTATAAACGCTCCCAGCACGGCATTGTAAATGGCTACTGTGTGAACCTTGATAACCCTGGATGGGCGAAACCGCTGCCTGCCATCAATTTCTAAAAAACTGATAGGTCACTTATTTTTCTAGCGCGATTCGCATCGTTTACTCTGCGAGTCGAAAGAAAACTTCGAGCTTATTAAAGATTATAGATCTTTAAAACTAAGACGTGTTTAGAAAACATAGACGTTTTAGCTAAAAATGACAGCTCCTATTTTCTCAGTTTTAACTTACGTTCGCTTCAGTGGTCTAGATAATTATTTACCTTTCGAAACTTGTCTAGTGTATCAAACTGTACATTAAGGGCTCTTAAGTTGAATCGTAAGTTGTCGATAGAGTCCCTTCCTTCAAGTTCCGCGAGCCTATTATTGACATCGACATGATTGATGACTGAATTTGCTGTGCTTGTATCGAGGGGCAACTGCAAATCAAATGAAAGTAGGTGTCATCATATATTGAACAAGTGATCATTATTGCATATATAAGTATTTATTGAAATGTTTTAGAACGAGACACTTTTGCTTGAAGCAAGCTCTAGATCTATGTATAATTACTTATGGTAGCTAAACTAGTACCACTTTTGATTGTGCTCTAAGTACTATGACGGTAATTCAGATGACCTAAATTGAAATCACCGCCCTTCTCCAGGCCGTGTAGATTTCTATCGAACTTCCATCCATTTCTGAGGTCTTACGTTATCATAGCAACAGTAAGTGTGCCATTTATTCCAACATTATTCACTTCAACCCTCACGGCTCCTATATAATATATATGTACTATATATTATTGTTTCATCTGTAATATGCATCACTATCATAAACTGGCTCATCTCGCGCCCGTGAAGTCTGATACAAAACGCTATCGCAATGCGCTAGGAAGAAACGGTCCGACCCGTTCTAGGGTACGCAGAGCGATCAGGATAACCACACCATTGAGACATCACACTGAAGAGTGTTTCCCCGTCCCGACCGATATAAGCCGTCATCATTTCAGAGGTCTTCACAGGTTGCCGATTACGGCCTGTACCATATATCTACAGATATTACCACAGCTTGTGCAAACGCTGCTGACACTGCAACTATCAACATTGAAGTCTGCAGGCCTGTTCTTGACCAGCATAACGGGTATTGCTGTTTTTACATCTTTACGGGATGGCTGATTGATTACACACTATTGATGCTATCAACAACATTCGACTACTTTCTAGGAAACTTAACAAAAAATAATTAACAGAATAGATTTTGATGATAGAATTAACAGAAGACGTTTGTCTGGCAATACGAATGATATCGGGAAGGCTCATAAGCAATGACAGATTTCTTCATGATGATAGTAAGGCCGTGCTGACGAAAGGCACTTCCGCTAATATTGCTGATAACACCAATCAAAACCAAATGCTAATAACCAAATAGCTAATTTCTAAACTTTCTTACCTTTTTGTTAAGGTAAAACAGTTCCACTATAACACAGAATAAATGTGATCGTTATTTTTTTTTGTGATCGATCATTTCAGGTACTTCTGCGGTGTACACTCTGTCTGTGCCGCGAGTTTCTGAGAACAAAAGTTTCTGATAATTGCTACAAATATTCTATTAACTTGCATAAAGTGACGTAAATTCATCAACATAATAACGTTTTCAGTTTATACACAGACTACAATACGTACAAAAAAAGTTAGGCAGAAGTAACAATCGATTTGTCCTAGGTTTAAAGGTCCAACCTAGCGATCGCTATTATTATCACGATCACATGAGTAACGAAAAGAACTTGTAAGTTCGACGCATTAACACATATCCGATAATATCGTACGACTGATTTGTTGAATCACATCGTTAGTTACGTGACGTGTTGGTGACGTGAGCACAATTTCTTAAATTATTATTAAAACGAAATATTCTAGTGGTTTCTATTGAATTAGATTCAGGACCTCAGTTCCTGCAGATTATACAAATGCCGGAAAAGTCTCTTGATGGGTTGACAAGACGATAAACAACCTACGTATAACCTGTGCATGTATATTATACAATATAAAATGAAAATTCTCAAAAAAAATCTATCTTAACTCCTATATATATATATATATATATATATATATAGAGTGGATGCCATAGACTTCAACCTTTTACGAATAAGAAACACTCGTACTTGTAATCAAATAGAATGAAAACAACTTAGGGCTGATTGTTAGAATTTTTGAAATCACAAATAATCTCTCTATTTGTATATGTATGTAGGGTTCGTTTGCAAATACGAATTACTACGCGGAAAATTGTTTCACCGTATATAATGAGATGATTTAGGCAATGCTCAGCTTGAATTTCTAAAATTATGGTAAGATATCAATCGTCAAGGTACTTCTAATTATAATTTGCGGCTCTTTACCATTTATCGGGCAGCTAGGTGACTCTCTATGGTTACGGCTCTCGGCTGTTTAAGCTGAAATAATTAGAAGCCCACTCTACGGCTTTCTCAGCGTCCGATAACCGTTTCGCGCCCAACAGATTTTCCATCGACCTAACTAATTACCAATTTGAAGAACCCAACTCCGGCAAATAATTCGCATGGTAGAGAATTGTCAACCCAATTATAAGATGGTTTACCACGCCCGAAGCTATGTGAGAGCCAGCGTTGCTACGAAGCAAATTTACTTCGCGGCTTCCTTGATTTGTCAACTTTCTTCATTGTAGGTAGATTAATTAATCTTCACTCAACAACAATCATTTAAGAAAAAAAATAACTTTCTTCGTGCATTACCAAACACGTAAAAATAATCATTAATTTTTGAATATTTCCCCTATTCAGGATAATGTGTCCTGCTTTAGATTGCGCCAGAAAATTCACATCACTAGCGTTGATTCACGGAAAATCGTCTTTTTTTTTTTTTAACTGAACTGGTAAGATGAGTGAGCTGCAGTACCATATTTATGTTCGCTTAGTTGATGGTAAAATCTAACCCTCTGTTATCTGTATCCTTCTCATAATGTGAAGATAATTTCAAATTATTTGCCGGGTTACTTCCGACTGATTGGTAGATTGTCAGTAGACAATTGGGTTTGAAATTTTCGTTCAATGAGGCTTACAGTTCAGCATTCTGCAAGCACTCCGAGGCGGTATGGGCTGATCAGAGACGTCCCTTTACAAATCTAACAATTGAATTAGCAGCCAGAGTTAATATATATCGCGTTAACTGGATAATCTTCGTTCGCAAATAGACAGCATACAGTTCTTCACGTAACTGGTATTGTCAATAGACCTGAACAACAGATGGCGTAAATGTCTCAGAAGTAAAGTGACGCTAGAAGAAGGGACAGGTGAAATTTTAGGACGATACGTTTTGCAAAGCTCGAATACTGAAATAGTGAGAACTCAGACTTTTGTCGCAGGAACCTATTTACGCAGTGATTCCTATATAATCATTCCTGAACGGTTCGCCTGAAGTGAGCCGGTACGTCACACTTGAAATAAACACAATGTTTTTTTTTCTGCGTGTCGATAAATCGGCGCAAAATCGTTTTGTAACGTGAAAATGCAGCAATTTCGACATTCAGCCGACATCTCAATGGTGTTTTTTTTTTTTGTTTGTGTGCACTGAACGACGTTTAGTAGACGTACGTCAATCGAACATAGACTCCATTGTCAGATGGACAGGCAGACAGATCCCACTAACCAACACACGACCCTTTTATCAGACTGTAACTTTCGTATAACGCTTTATAATGATATTTATACTAAGGTAAAGCAAAATAGGAAAACTCACCGCTTCAATGGACAGAACGGCGCAAACGTCCGAGTTGGAACATCCGCTAGATAATACACATACGGAGCGTGCAAAACCAAGCTCTCTCTCGAGGTTCGGCTAGAGTCGGTAGGGAGAGAATAAAGGTAAGTTTTCATCAGGATTCCTAATTGTCAAGTATCACCCCATTAAAAAGCCTTAGAGAGACATTATAGAAATAAAACACCTGCATTGAAACCGAATGGTCAAATGGTAGAACTAACCTACATACCTCCCTCGTGTGCTCTGTTGTTAAGTTGCCTTTCTAAAAGGTAGCAATCTTAACATAAAAATTAATGTAGCAACTAAATTTCGCATCAAATTAGTGGCCATATGTTCTACTATGCATGTCAGTCTATCTTTAATATATATATATATATATACATATATTTCTGATAGCTTTCTGAATCGCTAACACTGTCATTTCATGTTTCATTTTACACAAACAACAAGAAAAATTCCCGGAACCACTATCCAAGATGTCCTATGACGATGTTATATCCGCTTTTTCTGCACAGCTACCGGATACCTGTCGTTGATGTTGTCTAAAAATTGTTTACGTTGTTAAACAACGCTCATGAGCTATAACGCCAGCTGCCATTTCATGTTCGACGCGTACCACATCCATTTTGCGCTTTCTGATACGAAGCTATAATGGTCCCGCCGTGTACAATTCTTAAAAAAAAAACAATAACAACCGCTACTACTTTAAGACAATGTTTTCGTGTAATTTTAGAGTACGCGAAAAAGTCTGTTTCTCGGGCTGACGTACCTGTGCGCCCCATTTTCACTAACACCCGAACGCCAATGAAGAGAACTATAGTGAAAAGCAAATTAATAAAATGATAATGCCGGGCGTAATCAACCGGCGCAAGAAGAGGTCGATGAACGCAACTGCAATGCTGACTAAATGAGTTATAACATAGTGTACAACCTCACTGGATATAAGATTTCAAAATGTTATTGTAATTAGGAGAAGGGTTTCAGACTATAAAAGTACATTGTGGTGTTTTGCTATCGATGAAAAGCTTCTCGTGTTTTGGTGGCGAACACTGTTATCAGCATGCTCTGCTAGATATACTTTGCCGGGGTTCAGTCCGAAAACGGTCCATTTCGTCCGAGTAAAGCGCGCTATATTGAAATGCGCAATTTCAAAATTTTCGAAATAGGCCAACATAACAGCTTTTATTGTATCCATATCTCTATCACGCTTTACAAAATACTTGATAAATGACAACCGCTACTACACATGTTTTGTCTTAGTAATGATAATAACTACAACAGTATTACATTTCATCTATTTCTTTATGCGCAAAACACTAGAGTAAACGTTTAAACTTCTAATCAGCTACCTCTCTTCATCTATTTAATACGTATCGGCTCTTTAAAACAATAAATTCCGCACCAATCAAAGCCACTACACTCACACCTTTTATAAGCGCTTGGTCGCTCGTCTATAAACCCTATTCAGTCGAGCTAACCTCCAGAAGAACTCACGTACAGAATACGGACCGGATTCTGTAGCACTCTGTCTTGGTTGCTTCAAGCATAGCCTGGACTAATCGTTTTCTTCTAAAAGAAGACGTTTTGGCTACACCAACTGGACTTTGTGATGACGTCGGCTCCAGCGTTGGCGGGTCAGAGAGTCTACTCGATGAATGTATTACAGCCTGCCCCACTGGCGTGTCCAGCGTTAACAAGAGGGCGGATAACAACAGTGTCTAAAATTCGTCTACGTCTCCTCTCTTCCTTTGTCTAGGGCAAATGAAATGTGTTTCTAAAGCGTAACTCTCTATAAGAAAAATCTATGCACGCTGCATGTATTGGTGGAAACATCCAATAAAGGGCTAGAGGGTCCTCGTTTCATCTCCCCTTCGCCCGCAGGACGGCGGCGGAGCCTGAGGGCAACTGAGCTGTTTAACGACGTAGCCCAGTGGACAACGACAAACAGTGAGGGGCAACTGATCTTGATTACGTCTCGAAAGTTAGCTAGGACGACAGCAACAAGGTTCTAAACAACAACAACTAATAAAGAGAGACTGTGCTTCCAGATTGTTGAGTTCTAATAAATACCGTGCTCCAGCGTCCTCTAAATGGAATAAAGGGAGTCGTTGCTAATTCGATATATCGATGACTTAAAGGGCCGGAGGACGTGAGACGTCAAGTATATACACATGTCCAACACACCGATCGGACTTTTTGGGAACGTTTCTGTTGACAATATCGTACTAATATTTGTCGTTATTTTCATGGTTTTTAGACAGGTACGTATAGTAAAAGGGAGGCGTGTCGGTGCCTAGGAAACGTAAATACAAGCTTCCATGGCGGAAAGCGTTACTTGACATTGAACACGCTGGCTACGTCGCTAGCGCACAGGTAGTGACACAAACAACTCCATTGGCACCTGTGAAATTAATTGAATATCGCGGCAGCCGTGAAAAAAATCCTTGAGCACTGGAAAACGTGGCAGCAGTAAAAAGTGCCCTTATCGCAGTAACTGGGTAGGATAAGTGTGGGACTGCAAAACAACAATGAGTGCCTATGTCTAACTGTAGACCAGTTCGCTGAAAATATTTTACGCTCAAATGCATTACTATTTTCGTTCGTTTGACATCAAGGCCTTAAGGTTCCGTGTGACGTGTGTGCGACACCCGAATATAGCTTCTAATTAAATAAAATAATATTGACAATGTCTCATTAATTAGGTTACATTACTAGGACGGTGCCATTAATATATATTTATCAGAGGCATAATTTTTGTTGTCATCAACTGCTGTATACAGCTGTCATTGAGCCGCCCTTCCCGCTGTCCACGATGTGGTGCGTTTTAATCTGACATGAAAAACGCCCGTCAGCATCGACGCCGTTACCCCACACGCAGCCGGAAAATACGACCTCCCTACTTCGTCATGATCATTACCGGTGCAGAATTGAACTAGTGAGACTCGCACTTGGACCACGTCACACGTAATTGCGAAAGAGTGTCATCCCGTACACATGCAATGATTATAATAATAGAGGTAGAAACGTAACAGTTGATAAAAGCTATCTCGTTTTGCTACATGTCTTTCTAGGGATTACATGGCCTATTTACCGAGCTAGCACAACAGCAATGTCGGAGACTCGGAAGCCTTTTCGAATTTCATCGACGAGAGAATCGATACGGTCTTGTACACGCGGTTTTGTCAATCTAGCTATTACTGTTGTTATTTTTATTGTTACGGTAATATAACAATACGACAACGATATATGATAAATGATAAAGCCACCATCTGTGTGTAACAATGGTGTCAGTATCGGTATCTGATGCAAGCTGAATTTTGCTCATCAAATAATCATATGTAGTTTTACATCCCATCGCCGCTATGTTCGAAGCAGTTTGATAGAACCAACGTTTTAACGCAAGCAAATTAGAATTTCTGGGTGGCATTGTATAGTGGTAAAGCTGTACATAATGGATAAAAAAATCTTCCCTGACAGTTTCGTGATAGGGGCGAATTTCTTGGATAAGACTGCAACGACATTCGATGATATGGCGCCTTTCAAATCGCTATAAGACGACAATCTAATTACTGTCTAATCAGGAGATATAAATGCAATCACAAAATGAAAAACAGGTAGCCTGACTTAGCTATAAGGCAATATGTCCTAAATATTCGTACGTTGTAATTTAGGGAGATGAGGAGTCATCAGCTTGGCCATGCATGTTCACGACGGGAAAACAGAAAGCGTCCTTTTGTGTCGCTCGGACGATGTTCACACACTGTGGATATTTACTCTACGTACTCCTCTGCCTATTACACGCCCCGTAGGCAAACAGATAAGTGACTTACTACTATTGTTGGGTATCGGCAGATGGCCTCATTATGTGAATGAACCAAACTAGCCTCGTGACTGAACTCCAATGAAACAAACAGCCCTGTTGGCCTGCCCTTTGGCCAACTTGTCGGCTTTATCCTCCCGTTTCATTGAGTTGATCATTCAAGTAGTAAGACAGAGTAAACTGTAGGACTAAGACAAGCGCAAGCCATATCCGAGATATGTACTACATATGTAGGGCTAAAGGCATCATACTGGTGTCACAGTGCGAACTGTCATTGTTATTGCTGATTAACAACTACACAGACAAATCTGTCGAATTGTAACGTGGCTCCAGTGCCGAGCTCGGTATTTCTCTGAAAATGCCCGCTTTGACTGATAAATAATGCCATATATTAATATGGCATTGTATTATAGATGCGATGTAACCCGCTGCAAAGGCGACGAGAGAAGGGCGATCGTCCCTCGGTAAAGGAACTGAACCACCTCTGCTATTTTGACCAGCGGCCGGTAGAACCTCGCGTGCGCACTTCGTGTAACATCTTGTTAAGAGTATATTAAGCAAAACGAACGTTCACCTTCTAATGAGTATAAGCTGCATTGAACCAAAGACAGTTAAGGAATCCGGGAGCGACGCTGTCGACATGCGCAGCGTCAAGGTCATAACATAGAACTTTGCGCTACCTAGAAACGTCTACTCGTTATTTAATTACATCATCTATGTGCAACTATGCACAAGTAGTGAGATGTTCTTTCAGGCTAAGGTCACACTCTCTTGGGCGCAATATCTATAGGACATCAGCGGTTTCTCCCTAATGTACCTATATGACGGATAATCTATAAGTGGCTTCTCGAGCTTTGTCATTGTTGTAGACCTGTTATTGAGCTATCCAAAAGGTAGTATTCCTTTTGAACTTGCATCAACTACTGTGTTTGACAGAATTACGCGCACCGAACGAAGATAAAGCAAAAATTAGTTCGATTTCATTATTTTTATCGCAACATACACATTGAACAGACATGAAACAACAATGAAACATGAATTTTGAAAAAAATAAACGTTACAAAGTATTAATTTAGCAAAATTATGTACAACCGAAACGAATGGGATCAACTGGACGAAAAACGACCTGACACCTCATCATAAAGGTATCCTTCCTCGCACACCCTAGTAGTTACTGGGGTAACCTTGAATTTAATGTTATCGCTCTTGCCTAAGAAAATGCCTCAATGTAGAAAGTGTTTATACAAAAGCCTACTCGACCGGATAGCGACGATTCAAAGGCGTACGACAAGTGGCGGTGGCGTCATTCTATCTTGCTAACTTAGAATAACGAATTGCTTGTAAACAGGTCATATCATACTCGCTGAATCGCGGCAAAGTGAGACTCTTGCAACTATTACGCAAAACGCATTGCCTTCAACGGCCTTTGCGTATCGTATATTAGCTGGAAACATGGATCAGTTCAGGAGCCTATTTAGCCTTCTCTACCTAGATCAGTATCATGATTAACGATGATAAAAATCGAAGTAAGCTTATAATTAGATGGTTTCAAACAAATGATTGTTACCACATATTTGCATTAGGTTCTTTACGTGCAGAGGATTATGTCGTGCACGCCACATGCATGATTTTGTCAGCGACGGAAAAATAACCACTGCAAACCTGCTCTATGTTGCACTAGACAGCACGTCTGATTATTGTTTAAGTGTATATTGATGGAACTCTAAAGTACAGGCGATAAGATGAAAGGTATTTGCGTTCGCTTCCCGATATCGTTTAAATTTCCAGTTATTGTGTTGTATACCGCATTTGTATTAAGGCTTTTAACCATTTACCAGACTCTTTCTCCTCTTTTTTTCGCAATTTATCTACTACTACACGTCAAGGGAGAAGCGCACGTATCGTCTCAATTAAAGAAACACGGAAAAGTTTAATCGAACGTAACAAAAGAGATTAATCGAGACCATGCGCTCAAGCGATCTCTTTAATAATATAATAAAACCACCTAGTTTATTAAAGCAGGATAGGATCGTCTACAATACATAGACGCAAAACTATGCGTCTGTCGAAATACATAGGCTTTTTTGATTGCTGAACAGGTACAATTTCTGTTAGCGGAATTCGCATCAGCAGTTTTTGTTTCTTTCAGGCAGTCTATGTATTATCTATAATATAATAACAACAAGTTCTTCCGTTCCTGTTGGGCGAGCTCTGACGGATGTACTACGCTTTAAAAACATTAGACCATGTTTAAGCCATCCGGTTAAGTGGCCTGAGCCGCTTTTACATATCAACCCCTATATAGCTTCTTCAAGTAATATTATCGTCATTATATACAATTTTTCTGCTGCCCACATATCATTTGTCCATCGGTCAGCTTGCGTTTTCCCATGCATCGATCCGTTTATTTACTAGATTCGTGATTTGTCTTCTAGTCCGTTATATTTCCTTTATATTTCGTTTGTTGGCCGACATTCAACTGTGACATGTCTAACTATTATAGCCTTCAATTAAGTCAGCTAAATGAGGCCTTTTTGATCCGATGCACTGTGCCACGTTGCTTATGCGTAAAGCGTGACCCCGAGCTCTGAAACGGCACCTCCGACCTATAAATGTTCATAATAACATTCACTATAATGGAATATGATCTCATGGTTGTTGCCGGAATGCGTGAACGAAAGTACGATGTCCGCGATAGCAACAAATCCGGACAACATATGATGGCTCTGACCATCTGCGCACCAGAGAGTTACTCACTTGTCACGTGATGGCTCCACGTCTACTCAATTTTGCTGGACGGTGTCGGCTGCGCGAATCGTGTCTCGAAAGATCTACGCTTGATACTGCCTTTGCAGATGCCTGCCTCGCAGACGACCGAATTCATCTAGCTCTCTGCATTTCAGATACAGACAGAGCGGCACTTGGACTTTTAATGGAATTCTACCCCAGCTGCAACGTAGATCGGATAAGTCATGGGATCGGCGGGTAATGTAATGCATACACTGGCCATGATAGAGAATAGGGACAGCAAGAAGGAAAATCTCAGCAGAGGAGGAGAGCTAGAGCAGTGCCAACAACTGAGTAGTCCATAGAGTCTAGAATCAGAACGACGAAATCACAGGAAACGAGCAGAGAGCAGCGAGGCAGTAATTGTACACAGCTGATTATTAATATTGTTATAGAGAGACAAAAGTAGGGAAGGGATGAGATGAAAGAACCGATGACTCACTCTGCATTGCCTAGGATCTTACTTGTCCTTGATGATTACTATTTATCATTCCGGAACGATAATTGAATGAACACGAAATATATTGTCAATTAGATAATCAGCAAACAGAGATAGACCCGACGAAAATAATCTCTATCGTAAAGTACAAACAAACACAGGAACCTTTCGCCTCCCTTCGACGACATATGTAGTCGACGGTGACCAAGAGCTTCTTAATGCGTCGCCATTGACTAGTATAACAGAGCTGACTGTAGTGCTATTGAGCAATGCAAAAGGAGATTCTCTTGCTGGAATCAATACGATCTTCACCCCGGCCGTAATAAACGATAAACTTATGTACGTACTACATTTCTTGGTAATAAATGATCGTGTTTACTTAGCAAATAAGGATGACATGCAGACAGCCTCCAATACTGGCAGAAGACATGTTAAATACATTATCTAATGTTAATTACCAGGGATGTTCCAATTGGAAACAGCATAATATATATATATATATATATATATATATATATATATATATATATATATATATGGAGAAACTACATTGGTGTTATTTTGAGCGTGATTGATGAAATAAGCATAGAATAAACTTCGAGAGTCGATTCGGAAACGGTCAAGCCAATTGGTTATACTCTAACATACGGCCAGCCAGTGTTACTGGCGTTTTGTACCAGCAGGGGCTTCCGTCACGATGTAGATAGCGCATTTTAGTCTGGCAATCTGTCGGATGCGAGTTTTTATTCCCGCGTGTGTTCTCGCCTTGATGTGATCCTGTGATATCCTAGATGTCTGATGAGACGCCTGCTACAGATCTACCTATGAGCTCATACAATAGAATAACGATTGCTGCAGTAGTCTAGGCACTGTCAGCCGTCTGGTGGACAACACGTGGTTTCAATAGGTGACTTCAATCTAGCACATTGGCAGTTGTTGCCATGTCTACTATTCTCCTAGCCCTTCCTTCCTTCTGCCGTATGTTATCGTGTTCGTTTTACGAGCGTTCTTTTTTTCAAGGTCCACTCATTGTCAACGAACTGTTCGTTCTGCCATTTCAAACAAAAACAAAAATCCTTCACGGTCACTGACGCAGCCTGCGTTAGGCGGTAGATGTTGTCAAGGGTAACGAATATATGCCCTAAAGAAAATCCCATTTTTTATTAGATGTATATAAATTTATAATTCAAGGTAGGTTTAGAATGCCAGAATGTCGGAACATATATATATATATACATATGTAGATAGCAATGAAAGCGTCGCTGTAGGTTGAATGTAACGCAAACGTTTACAAGCCCATAGAGTTGTGCGACATGAGTTAGTTAGCCTAAAAATAGGGTTCAAGTAATCATCCGAGATTTTAAACTGGAAACGAGAAAAGATTGGGATAATTTATGCGATAATGAAATAGTAGATATTTTACTGTGTGCGTAAAGAGTAGCGTAAAATATTTGAGCTCACAGATATTGGCCGTTTCAACTCAGATTTGCACAAACATTGTCATCCCCGGATCCTCTCTAGCTTGACTTTAGATGTGTGCCTTCCAGGCACGCACGGATCGTTTTGGCCAAGCCAGAGACCTATCGCCTTTACGTGACAGTTAGTCACGCGAGGTGCGTCGTGCGAACTTCGTATGTGCAAGTCAACTCTGTCAAGTGTGTGCAGATAAACGTAATTTGTTTATATACTTAGCTTGATTCGTTTCGAAAACCAGACGGTTCAACTTTTTAACGGGCATTTCTTGACACTTTTACCCACTAGTGTTAGGTTGAGACTTCCTTGACACCTATCGCTTGGGTTTCAACGATTCGGTAGTTGTGCGGACATTGATTTTAGGCAAAGTTTAGGTGGCCTGTTTTGTGTTATTTCTTGATATAGTATTTTATCATTAGTGTCTTCAAGGAAGCGCACATATGTACACAAGATGAGATCTACGGTAAGTCATGTCAATTACGTTATGAAATTGTTTGCCGCCTTGTTTTCGCTGCACAGAATGCTCTGGGGAAGGGAGTGGTGATACAGACACAGGAAAAACGGTCTGTTTAATATATCAGAATTTCGAATCAAACAAGAAATAAGCTATATTTTGACTCGATCAAAGGCATTTGAAAAACGTTGTACTAGAAAAACCGATCCACGAAAAAAAAGCGTAGGACCGACTATCCATATGAAAAACTACATACCAATTTATCGACAGCAAGTGTATACTGTCAAATGTAGACAGTAAACAACGAACAGATGCCACTTCTCTAGCCTTGTCTCCCCGAAGGTCGATTCAGAAATCAAGCCAACGCAAAAAATAATTATTTTGCCTATTTTTGTGCATTTGGTTGGGGCAGACGAGAGCGCGAAGAAGGGAGTCACATAAACTACACGCTGTTTTACCAACGCTGAGAAAAGCAGCGAAAGATGATAAAAGAAAACATCTGCTGAACTGGATAGGTTTGTAATCCATAGAGTCCATGAAGAGTCTCGTCCTCGATGACAGTTACCGTTACCTGGCACTCAGAAGTTAACTCAACGAGTTAGTGCCAATTTACGCCATATCGTCCTTCACGCTACCAGCGCTACAAGACTTGAAGTGCAGCAAGCTTGAATCATCGATTCCGTTTACTTTCCATATATCGATCCGTTGCTTTGCCTAAAAGTGCCACCCATATCTTAATGGCTTTCTTTCGGCATCTATCTCTGCAGCTTGCAGTGGAGTGCTTCACGGAATGAACTCTGCAATTTCACTTCTAGTATCTACCACCATCGAACTCTGCGCTACTACGGACCGCCGAAGGTACTCGCGTAATTAACCAAAAGCATATTGTCCCAGTGGTACTAGACAATCACGTAAAGTGTACCAGAAAAAAAAGAGGGAAGGTTCAAGGAGGGCTGAGCTCGCTCCTCATTGTTCTAGTTCTTATCGATGCAGTCTTATGCAAATGAGTGTTACTAAGATTTATTATCGGGCTACTATCTCTGTTGTCCCAGAAGTTAGCATGTATAATGGAGCTTTATTTACAAAAATCGGCACTTACATCGGGCTACCGGCTGTATATATTGTTCATCTCGTAGCACGTATCGGCCCTCAATCCAGATCCTAGATGTACAGAGCTCTTGTGATATTCCGGTGTTAGGCCAGAGGCGGCCTAAGCATGATGACCTGCTGATAGTTCCCTTACATGCATCGCTCATGTTGCGCAAACGAAGATCTCTGTGTGAAGGGTGTCAAAAGCGCATGTGTGATCGCATATTGGCATCAATACGTCCAAAGCAAGTAAGTATAAAAGTGGGAAAAAGCTTACGGTAGAAAAAGAAGTATGCCGTTTTAATAAAATATTTTTAAAAAATTTGCTACAGACAGTTTGTTCGGTTACTCGTTCCCTTCATCATCTTCTATTCGCAAAAAATGGCGGCAGTAGAATAGTTTTCCGATATTTGTGACCTACAATTACACGGAAAGAAAGAGATAGTGCGTAGTATCTTATACTCGACGAATTTTTGGCTCTGCAATCTGCTACGTAGGGTCGGAATATCTTCAAAAGCGTTCACAAATGAAGCTTTAGAGGTTACCCCGTCCAACTTCAGGTATGTGAGAGGCGATCTTGCTCTGGTAATAGGTCTCCAATCGATTCGTCCGCAGTGCGCCGATTCCAAAATAATTTGACAAAGTTGCCTTCGAACTACAAGAACGAAAAACAAGTGAAGAAAACGCAGTCATTCTTCACAGGTATTCATCTCTATATCTAAACCGTACACCTACATAGAAATAATGTTAATAGTGTTTGTTGACTTAGGTAATCGAGCTCCTCACACTTTGACCCCTTTTGCTCCAACACTTGCGTCGCTTGTCGCTGTTAGCGAGTTTTCGTGTCATCGACTCCGTTGGCTCAGTCAAAACGAATATCAACAACGTTTCCATACTGTAATGATATATATAATAATGTATATGGTGACCACGCGGAATGTAGATTACGATATACCATATATAATGTGTCTATCCTGAAAAGATACCCCTCGAGCTAGTGAACAGTGGAAGTACTGTCGCTTTAAGCCGATGGCGGGATACGATCGAACTTACGGCAGGGCACGGTGGCACCTTCCGTTGCGCTCTACTCGAATCGAATCGTCGGATTCAGTGGTTCACATCGTCAACCCCAGCTATTCGCTCTTGTCGCAGCCGAAGGTCGAACAAGAGGCAAAAAAGACTAAATAAGTGCAAAAGGAAAGGAAGTGCTATGGGTATGGTAGCGCCCACGCTAACGACGACGACAACAACAGCAACGGCTACAGATTCAAGTATTACTGCCATTGGCATGGTGTGCAAAAGAACGTAAAAAGTGACAGCTCTGGCTGCCGGCAGCATGTGCAGACTGGACTAAGCTCTTTTGGTAATTAGGTGCTATACAGTCAATTGCGTGTAGAAACCGGCACTGAGTAAGGCAGTTCATGTCCATAGGTACGACTAAACAGAAAGAGGAGCTTTCCAAGAGCAAATCGTTGTTATACTCTATAATTTACTTCTTTGCTTTCTAGCAATTTCAGATCCCTGATCTGTTTGTCCATCCATTTTAATAAGAAGTCATCGTTGTGTAATGGAAGCTTTTCGATATTGAATATCATGGGTAACCACAAGGGGTCAGTACCGCTAATTTGCAGTAACGAACCGCAGGTGATCTGCGGAAATATCGAGTACGTTCGCTCAGTGTATTTCAGATATGGGATCATCTATAGCTCTATAAAACATGTTTCGTGTTATATAAGCCTACTTTACTTGTTCAGCGTTGGCAATACATAATATCTAGATAACATGAACCGGAACGCAGATAGACAAGCTGGTCGCCGTTCGATAGTTACAAATGTAATAGTTCATCCATAACTAGTGGATATCCGCTTTTCCGTAATTTAATTCAGTGCTACGGAATAATGAAACGTATGTTGGTAAACGACTCCGTTTCCGTTATAACAGACTATGACGCGGAAGCAACGCCGAGGTGACTAACCGAGACATTCGCTTAAAATACTTCCCATCCGCGCTCATGACTAACGTGTGTGATACGTATGGATAAAATACCTTCAATTATCTCTTTATAATAACTATCGACAATATAATGATCATCGTTTGGCAAACGGCAGAACTGTCTGACTCTAATGCTGCTATAACTCTGAGTTAATGTATACATATATGTGTGCCATTGAAGCAGTGATGGTAAAATCGCAATTCTGCCAAATATTCAACGGGGGGCGGTTGTCGCTATACTCTATGTTGTCAGTTGTTGCCCTTAACTAGACAAAATTGGTACTGGCAGAAAGTTTAGCGACAGACCCGAGTTCCACCAGATCGCGCATTGATCCAAAGACATCGGCACGAGCTGGTGGACGTTATGCACGTCCCACGTACGACCGAGCACGCAAACTGTATACCCAACATCTTCTAAAGATGTTATCCTGCTGTTATGAAGAGGACATCCTGCCAGTCAGGCACTTGACAATAGTACAATGCGCTCGGTAATCGTATCGTAGGCTACAAACGTACTCAAATTGCTTACGACAATATTAGCAATAGTTGTGGGCTAACCCCAGGGGCTGTACGGCCATACTGTGAGCAATAACAATTGTTGCAGTTAATGCTAAATAAAGTAAAGTAGTATTTAAGGGACTTGGATTGCTTTGAACTGGCCTTTTCGTCGTTTGGTTACTTCTCGCATTAATCACGGTGATTTCTGCGAGCAATAAGTGAACGAAAATTGTCGCCTATCCGGGGCAAACTCTACTAAAAAACAGTGCGGTGCTCCATTAAAGTGTCCGGAAAAACATTTACTGAAAACGAAGCCACCAGGGTATTATCATATAAATAGAAGAAAAAACATTTGTGCGCGAAATAGATGAATCAGTGATTTAGGGTATTTGACGGGCATTAGAAAAACAATTGGAATTAGGACGAGCGATTTGTCACCGGGCACTCAAAGTACATGTTTCGACTCTTTCGTCGGGTACTTAGGCCGTTAAGTATTGCCTTAGACTACTGGCTTCCACCACGAAAGTACCATTTGTGACAGTTGATTGTAAGATTTGAATTTAACAGGTATTGGCAGCGGTTTCATTTCATGACAAAACGCTTTTATTTTCAGGGATAAGATCAACTACCTTTTGCTATTCTTACCCCACATCATTGGTATCCTAATTACAATCACAGTGACGCGTAGCTTAAAGCAGATTGAGATGATTCAAAAAACACAGCAGTGTGGTACGCAAAGCTTGAGGCAATTAGATACGAAGGGAATCGTAAAAGAGAGGGTTTAGGAGGACTGCAAGCATATCATTCTGTTGTCATCGAACGGTGTTCTACTAAGGAAACATCCGCTGTGAGCTTAATAACAAGAACTTCACGAAGAATCAAACAGAGCTACATTTTGCGATAAAGTTATCAAACATGTAAAGGTTCTATAATATAAGAAATGTATGAATTCTCAGCAGATGATACTGGGAGCCGTGTCTTTTGAGAAAATGTTGCGGATTCGAAAACTTGTTTCGTACAAATAGACAGAATTGGCTGGAATTCTCGACTGTTTTTTTCATTCAAAGCTAATAGCACTTCAAGAGAACAAATAGATTTGAGATAAGCTCAGTGTAAGGGGTTTTAAAGTTGCATTACTCCGTGTAGTGATACACGTAAAGTAGAGGCGAAAAGTTCACAGAGAGTCTGCATTTAAAAGAAAACCAGTGGTTTGAAGCACTGGCCTTGTATATCAAAACAGTGTAACGGCCGATCAAGAAGAGCTATTTTCACTGTGGTATAACATCCATGAAGACTTGTCTTCTTGGTCAATACGACGAGCAGATTAGACAAGAGCAGCTATTTTGTAGAGGGCATGCACACGAAGAAAGAAAGAGTTTGCATCAATTAACTTCGGATAATTAGTTAATCGTTCATTTCTGGGTGTGGTATTGCTTAGATCATTAATAAACTTTGAAATAATAAACTTCTATGAACATTTTCTTCACCAAGATGTGCAACATACAAATATATCATAAACTCCCAGAATGTCATTTAATAACACTGCTAATTTTTACCATTTTTTAATATATAATATTTTACAATATGACATACTTTCTTCGTATGGACGCTCTCTTAACAAAGCGCCGTATGAAAAATGAACATCATAAATTAGATGAAATTTGTTTGTTGCCTGCAATATCCTAAAAGGACAATGAGGCTCAAAGCTACTTTTGCATACGTGAAGCTGTCATAGAAATCTCATCTGTTCTTCCGAGTGGCCGTAATTAAGTTGGTCTATGTTGTTTAAATGTGCGCCATGCCCGCGTCCATATCCCTGTACGCTGTCGTACGCCCAGTGGATAAAAAAACGAAGCCAAACAGAGTAAGTGTGGTCACTTCCAGCTTTTGGTGGGTCCGCACTATACTGCTTCATCGAAATAATTAATAATGTCAAAAACAGTGTCACTCATAGCTTCTAAAAGACACTTACTCTGCAAGCTTGTAGAAGACACATTCCATGTTTTTTGTCTAGCGGAAAACTGTTATGTTAAAGCACCAGCGCGATAAAATGAAATGACAAGCGAGCAAAACAATGGAAGACAATTATCTGTAACGTCAAGTTATTTTCTATTCAGATCTCCTTTTCTATCGCATACGCTGCTATTTAAACATTTCCATGAACGTGCAAGCAAAGTTTCGTGGAAGGCTTCCGATTATCCCTTGTCCAGCGAAGTCTGCTTGCGCACCTCGTTTTCGACCCGCCCCAATAATGCAGACTGAATGCCAGGATAGAAAAAAAAAAAATTATTTTTTTCTATCCTGGAATATGGCTCTGATCCGCTTATCGACAGGTGGCGGGGACCTACTTGCGGACTTCTTAAATCTTTTTTTTTTTTTTTTTTTCTCAAAATAACTAACATTCAAAGTCACGTAACTACCTGACACAAACACTGATACCGTTTGAACGTATGCAGCCAATACGGCGCAGACCGGCTGAAAATTGTCTAAGTGTTGCACATACGTTTGACCGTGATGAGTACTACTACGATAGCGACTTCGGGGTGAAACAGTCGCTTCGTACCGAACTGATTCAACCAACTGTGAAAATCTCAATAGCTAGATAATAGACTATTATGTGATTTGTTGTTGAAATAGTTTGGAAGCATGTTCATATCACAATCTTTCACATAAGAACGGCTTGAAGGGGCAAAACTATTTTCGTATAACAATAGTGACGGCCCAGGCAGTAGAGAGAGGGCGGTGAAAAGCTAATATTTGAAGGTAATTTTGCGTTCCTCATATATACTTATGGTAATAATATTTATCAAACAATAACTGCTCAAGTATCATATATCTGTATCTGGCAATAGGCACTGCGTAAAAATCTGTCACGTAGAGGGACTTGGTTTGCCTGATCTCGCGACGTGTTGTTTTAATATGTTATGGTATTTTATACAATTTAATACCGTTTGCACGTCATTAAGTAAGCGTGGCAAAGAAAAAAAAAGAACGAAAGAGACACAGAAAAGAACCATAAATATGATAACCTTAAACAGTCCAATAATATTACAAAAAAGAGAACACTTAATCTAGACGCTTGAAATAGACAATCTTTATCTGATCGTATTCGAAACTGAACTATAGGCACCAGAAATAGTAGCTATGTTCGTATCGTTCTATTCGATTCTATCTTCTCTTTGAAGCATTTTTATCAAAGTGTGCTAACATGCCAGCAAAACTCGAACTATTTTTAATACTATTCCCACACAGCCTCTCTAAATAAATGCCAAAATTAGTACTAAAGAATACGACGATTCCTATAAAAGTACAACGACGCGTCATTTACGCCTATAACTTCAGCATTTAATTTAGCTAAAAGAAGTTCCAGCAAACTTTATTTTGTTTGTATTTTAAGAATGTTCTACTTGGTCATTATCCACGTGCGTATCTACGCTTCTATTCTTTTCTCGCTGTTCGTAAAAGTCCCCACGATCACACACAGTCTTGATGACCTAACCATATTACGACTCGTTTAGCCTCGTTCTGTCGTCGCGGTAGTGGCCGCGACATACGCAGTACCGGGAGCATAAAGTTGCATTCTTAATCATATCCATAGCGTAGGCTCGTGGTGCGACAACAACGACCGACTAAGCCACGACATTATTCACGAAACGAAGCAGACGACGACAACGGCGACAACGACGACGAGACGACGACGAAAATAACAGCAGCAGCGAGGGATATGATGTCATGCGCTCTGTTTTTGTCGCTAAAAGATATGCCAAAGGACCTTGTTCATGCACCTATCCAGCGGCAGCGCAGCGGCAGAAACTATATCACACAATAGCAATCCCCCCTAACTGATCGTTCCACCATCGCTAGGAACCCCAGAACTCCCCAAAGGACGTTTCCGCTCACCAGCCGTTCCCTACTCTCCGTCGTATGTGTTGTTCTTCCAAAATAGAGCGCTTTTTAGAACTTACCCGCCGACCATACAATAACAAAGACCGTTGCAAACACACACACAGTCATCGTCAGATAGCCATAACCACGGCTAGGGACCCACATGTATACGTCTCTGTGGTACGGACTCAATTTATGGCTTCATGCACGTCAAGGCCATCTGTGAGTCTCTCGGCAATGGCGACGGCAGGGGTCGTTCGTTTAATTTTAAGCCATGAGCTTTCGACTTCTATCGCCGTTACGATGGCCAACAGTATCAGCGGGAATAGCAGCCACAACTCTAAAACAGTGGCTTGTGCTTGTTACGGGACAGTTAAAATAAGTGTGTATATGTGATCTCGTAGCAAAGAATACTGGGCCGCATCGCCGCAGCTCGTTAGTGCCGAACAGCGGAGACAGAGGTGCGAAGAGGCGCGTGCACCACACAAATTACGGCAAAAGTGACGCGGTTCAGCCCTCTCTCATTCGAAATTGAGGCACCTTCTGTTTTGACAACGCGATTACTCGCGACGATCACTTTTAGTGAAATTAGGTTCCTGCAGGGTTCTAGTCGGATCCTAGTAGGTGCCGGCAGTCTAGCTTTGCAATTTAGGTTGAGATTGAACTCGGAGTCGGATCTCGATCTTTATTTAAGGTTAGGTGAGTTGGGCTGCATACAGGTGTAATGATAAAACCAGATCTACAAACGGGTCAACCGATTGTGCAAAAGATATAAGCGTTTGTGTAAAACATTGGATCAGCCTATATAGTATTCGGCAATCGATATGTGTCTTTGAATGTAGCATTTCTGGAAGAGAATTTACTTTTAATTATTTATTGCCTTCAACTTATATTTAAGTACATAAGCGATTCTGGAAATATATAGCTATATATGCAGTTTTTCCAGGACGTTGCTTTGTTAATGGTTGTTTGTATTGTTGTTGTTACTCAGTATCCGGAAGAATTCTACAAAATCATTCTCTTGACAACCGAATACGAGGTATTGGATTAAATGTTAGTCAGTTTGAGCTGTGACGAAGGGTAGCAAGAACATTGGCTAACGAAATGAGGACCAGCTTTCTTCCCTCTATTGGGAATACCCTAATTTGGGATGTGATAATTATATACGTCTAAGTGTCCTTAACATTTTTAACAAAGGCAACTACATATAAATTGAAACGTTAGCCAGTTCCCTACTGCCTTTACCACTTTTCTGCCGGACATTAGTTCTAACCAATCTTTTCATCTTGAGGTTTTCAATACTTTTTAGATAAGAGAAAGCTTCCTCATTTGTTCCACTACCAGAATAGCACAACACATCCGTTTTTACTATGTTATTTAACTAATGATTATGTACAATTGCAAGTGTCCTACCTCATCACTACTCTTCGAGCATGGTTGTCCCTACACAGCAGTCCAAAAAATTTCCCTGCGCGGAATCGCCGCTTAATGCAACGCGACAAACACAGCGGCGATTGTCGATGACACTGCCAGCGCCGACTGCGACGACTCTGCTCTGATTCTTTTTTTGTGGCCGTTTTCTTTACGCCTCAGGGTCGATAATCACAGCCATGTAAATATACACGCACAGACCACACAATGCCAATGCCACAATGCGATGGGTAGACGAAACCAACTGGTAAATACTCGCTTGTTTTCCCGTTTTCAATCACTGTTTGATCCTCAATTCTCGGTGTATGTTTTTATCGCGCAATGCTTTTCTCGACCTAGTAAGCAAAATAGCCAAGGGCACGCCGATTCCGGTATTCCAACGCTGTAAATCTCTTTCCTCTTCCCACTTCTGAAAACCGTGACAAGTTCACCTGAAGTGTTGCACATTAACCAATTTACACACTTCGTTCTAGCGATAGGTTAGCCTTCGACCAAAATCCCGGGCGAAGTGTGAAATAATTCTACCTCTATCGGCTGAACTGCACCAGCTATCTAATATACTCGTCAAACGTGGGTTCTCGAAGTCTCTGCTGGACAGACTGAACGCGCGAGGTCCTTGGTGAGCGTGACACAATCTTGGCAAAATTGACACTTGTATTGCTTCAAACCCTATTAATCAACACTTCTGTCTGACTGTTATCAAATTGATGTACAAACCAATGAAGAGGTTGACGACTTTTGCCAACCTACGCAGGAAACGGCGCGAAGTATGTTACCGCGTTTTCAGTCTGACTATTGCTGCAACAACAACATCATATAATGATTACAAAGTCGCCAACAGTTATGCCGGTCAGCAAAATTCGTTGCGAATTCGACATCAACTTATAGAACTATCTATATTTCATCATAAAATCGTTCTAACTAGTAGAAACTGTCAAAATAGCAATTGATAGTCGCGAATACTTCTCAAGTAAAGAAGAAACAGTAGATAGACAGGGATCTTTGTAGAAGGACCGACTGCTCAACCAATGAATTGCAGATACAGAGTCCGAAAACAGAAGCGTCGCTCAATAACTTTTCTTCAAGTCGGTATATGTCTTTTATGCTAGACTCTTTACGAAAGCCCTGCTCAGAGACATCGTCCTCTGTTTATCGCGTTAACTCGCGTCTATGGGTATTCTGATGGTAGAAATTATTCGCTAGCCGTTCAGCAATTAATAGCACCGCTACAGGGTACCCACAGGAATACCTTGTCTGTTTTCGTGATCAGGAGGCAGCCGAACGTTTAAAAGACCAGTTCTCGAAAGTGCTCCTCTCCAGCTGTAGTCGGCTCTGTCCTCTTTTCTCACAGGCACAGTATCTGTCCTACACGTTTCGTTCGACGGTACAAAATGAAACTTCAAATTGTCGTAGTCTTTGCCGTCCTCGGCCTTGTCACAATGCCAATCGGCTGAACTCCTGCAGATGCTAGGTTTGCTTTCTAACCTTCGTACGCCTTTAGACGCTTTTAAGCAATGTACCACAGCTTCTTTTAGTAGCAGAAGTGCGACAAACGACAGTTGCAATTTCCTTTTTCACTTCTTTTTTCTACGAATGTTTAATGTTACCGTTGCAGCTTCCGAGGAGGACGAGAACTAATGCAACGGACGGTTACAGTCGCCGCCGCCGCCGCTGCTGTATGAACTGCGGAAGGCTGCTAACGTTATGATAGCATCCGATGCTGATGGTGCCTTTCGACTGATTCCCCTTCTCTTTCCACTCTATACTAACCTTTGCCTCACTCAGAGGAGTTATATGGTGGTAGCGGCGACGGCGGCCTGATGCTAGTAGTGTCCGTTCGTACTGGTGCGCCTACTCTCAGCTGCACGCTCAGCTAGTGTGTGTAGGCTGTGCCTTGTATGCCCCCTGCCTAGTCAGAGCGGACGCTTAGCGAACAGGAGAGCCGACGGTGTTGTGGTGGGCGAGGGAGAAAAGGCCTAAAGGGAAGGGCGCGCGTTACTGTAGTGTTACCAAAACATTGGATGGATAGGCAGGGCGCCCACCAACGAAGTGGAAAGGAGGTCCGACAAATAGCAGAGAGAGAGAGAGAAGGTATCCACGGAAATTGGGAGAGGGTGCACAGCGAGAAAATATAGAATAGTTTTTTGGATATCTCAACTGCACAGAATCTGGGGTGCAATGCGAGTTAAGTTGTTATGAAGAGGGTGTCGTAACTTGTTCAGAGCTTGAACAGAGTAAATAGTTTATTCTACGATAAATGAATACTTGTTTTTTGCAGCAACGTTGTATAATTAAAGGTAATTAAAGGTAAATAAAAAGCGTATGTATTTTATAATATTATTTGGAATGGTGTGTGTCTCAACGATAATTTAAATAATGAAAGCTATAGTTAGTTAATTTTGAAATTATAACACGATTTCTGGTTAAAGGGAAATGCAAAATCTTATTTACAGGGATAGTGTGGCTAGTTCAAGTTTACTCGCATATGAACTTTAAAAATTACTAAAATTGAATTTCTTTTTATCCTTTTGATATTTATTCACTATTTAGAAAGCATAGCGTGAATCGACTTTTATAGGAGAATAATCAAATGTAGATTTTCATCTGTTAAAATCGTCAGTTGACGGTTGTTAGACAGAAAAAAAAATTAGGCTTGTATTGAAAGCAATAATATAGAGAGAAACAAAGGATCCACTCTGTTTTTCACGATGAATTGTTTTTCTAAAGTGTTGATTTACTGTTTTTGTCATCTCCCACCTATCCTTTAAACTGATTTATTTGAAGGATTTTGCTCAAAGTTTGTAATTTTGAGCTATTTTCTAGGGTATAGGTAATTTATTCGGTTACGGCTGGAGCTCAGCGTCGACGTCGCATCTGAGTATCCTCTGACAGATACAAATCCAATTTTGTCTAAAACTATTTAATTGACTCAATCGAAATGTCTACGCAAATGGTTACACATTCGGCGCTGGCATCGCTGATAAACCTTCGGGCTCAAACAACTATTGCAATGATCTGTATGCTATATTAACGAATGTTTCGTACGACGCCGGGACGTCCAGTGGTCGGTTTAGCCATAAGTTCGTTCTCGTGAGCATACTTTACATGAAACGCGGCCGTCAATATATAGCATGCCTAGTAGAGGACAAAATGCTGAACTATAATTGTCAATTGCGAAGTACGAATTATATTTATAAAGCGATACTTTTTTTGTATATTTTATGCGTGGCAATATATCAATATACAGCAATCGTATATCTGGATCACCGTCAATCGCTTTTTCCAAACTTCTCAATCATCCAATGAAGCGTCACATTTTAGCTTCATAAAACAATCAGCCTACATTTATTTTCGTATCGTTTGCACTCACGCATCTGATCAACGTATAAAATTATGTACAGTTGTCGGTGTAACTCCAGTCAATAGCCATAGATATGGGATCATGTTAGAGAGACAATACCCGGTACAGAACGGTGTGTCACTTGGAAGTATGTGCGGACACGGGACGACAGGCGGGTCTAAAGCTAAGAACGATCGAAAGAACGAAGCAACAACAATATTGAAACTCATCGCTAATAAATCCAATTGTATACTTCATCCTTGCTTTAGAAGGAAGCTACGAATACGGGGCTTATACATGTTTATCTGGTACCTCAGCGATAAATAGATTACTGTGAGCTTATATTAAGCAAGTTGGAAAAAAAATTATTGTGTCGTTCAGACTTCTAGTTGACACAATTATAGCAGGGCTTTACTAAATCATAAAACTCTAATTACGCAAATAACACGTTCAGTTTATAATTCGAATCCAACGTTCAGAGATGCGTTTAAAATTAGTAGAAAAGAAGCCGAAAGGTTAGTAGAAAGTAAATTTAGTAGAAAAGAAGAAAGAAAGGTCCATTGAAGTATCGCGCGAGCCGTGCGAAACAACACTTGTGTAATTTCGGCTAGAAGAATCAGAACTTCTGTTCATACATATGATTAATATAATAATATATGATTAATATAATAATGAGAATAATCAATTGAGCTTGTCTTTTAATTAGCTACTAAAGATTTCCGAGTTTTACTTCGGACCTTAATGTACTTCGTTGAAAAGTATTTACTTCTGATATGGTTGATCGTACAATTCCTGCACCTTTTATTAAACTGTCCTGTACACCTTGCAATAGATTTCTATATGTCTCTCTTATGAAAACGGTAATTATATCTCTAAATTCCAATATGACTAATTCAGTGCAATAATGGCCTCGAACCTCAAAAAGTTAATAATGCGAGAACACACAGACGCGACGCCATTTTCGTGTGTCTTATTATATTGGAGACTTAACATTTGCATCAAATGTAATACAGATGGGTTTGTTTGACGACTTCAATGACCGTAGTGACAGAGTTCGCAATACGGGTTTGTTTGAGCCGCATTCTACTATTTTTATGTCGTACGATGTACGGGCCCGTGCAAGTAAATGACAGACAGCTCTTGGAGATAAAAGGCGATTAATAATTTTTCACCTCTAAAGATTGAGAGACTGGCGTCCTTAAAAGACGATCCAGTAAAAACTTCTCGATAATAGTTCTACAAAAAGATCGGGTAAGTCTTCTAAAATAATTGGTGGCACATAGTTTAGACAAGGGATTAGCTCCCAGTTCAGGCACTTACAACTTCTGAGTGCTGACTCATATCTAATAATGCTCTAATTATTGATTTGTTTCATCACCTTGTAGATGTAAGGACAATGTCACCTACATGTGCATAGGTTTGAAGCATACGGGGATTTGAAGGAGGTGAAGAACGCGGATGTTTTTTCAGTATCGTCCATTGAGGACTGCCGGTCACAATTAAAGCAACTCTATCGCACTAATTCACTAGTTCATAAAAGCTTGCGAGAAAACGCTCTGTTTGCGTCTTCGATGTCAAGTCTTGATTACATGAAACAGCCATAATGAACAACATTGGCGAGCTGTAGTCACTTCGAGAATTTCCATAGGATAGGAAAGTCGTATATGAGTAGCAGTCTAGGACTGAGGGGCTTCTTTGAAAATGTTAGCAGGTAATTGTACGGTATGTGGGCAGAGTTCGGGTGTGTGAGGTTCAGTCTATTGTAGTTCCGCGTACACCTATTGTACATCTTAAACCTCATCAATCCCGATCAACCTTTACCGAAATGCTCTAAGAAATCGACCATTGACGGATCAGGAATTTTCCAAAATGCATAATGGGCTGGTGCAGTTACTTCACGGATTCGGTTGATGCCAACTCAGATTGTTTCTATGATTGGGTTCGATACAGTTGCGTGCATATTATGGCATACAAAAGCGATTAATTTATAATGGAAACACAAGCGAGATTACACGAGCACAGATACTATCTTTCGCTGCATAACCAAATGGAAACCTATAACATAGGTGGTTATTCTATCAAAGTGCAGTCTTGATGGTAAATGACATCGTGCTGGTGAAACCTTACGACAAACCTGCGGAATTTTCCCGCAGCCCAGCCGGTTCAGTTGTCGCGGATTGTCAATTCTAAGAACTAAAGACTAGAAGATTCCAAGCAGGGGTCGATGAGAATCTCGTTTTATGTAATAGGATTTGGAGCGATATATCATTTATCTACTCGATATCATTTCTAGAGAAATAGGATAAGTTTTCTTAGTTCTGTCCTTAAGGAGGCTTTGAGGCAAAATTAGAATTCCACGTATGGTATAAATTACAAATGCATTGGATAGTCTGTCTCGATTTTTGGTCAGTAAGTTAGGTCGCATAAAATACGCTACTTCAATGAGATTAACGGACCTGTTGATAACAGCAGGGTTGATGTTTTAGTTGGACAAGCTAAAAATAATAGGAGCTGTAAGGTTTCTGATGCGACTTAAGATGGCCGACTTCAACTAATTGGGGTCACGTGAGTCGCTTCTAGAACACGAATTTTTTGTAGAAAACTATTTTATGGTTAACATATAACAAAAACTCTGGTCTTAGTACATGTCCGTTACGTATCGCTTATGTTAGACATCATGGTGAGCTTTAATTACCCCCTTTTTTCAAAACTCCTGTTTTATATGTGTGATTTCATGTGCATATTCATTAACTTCTCTACATTTTGGTCAATACATCCTTTATGACGAAATCGAACTCTAAACTACCAAGTAGTTTTTGTGGTCCTAATAAAAACTTCTACAAGAAATGTAACATAAATTAGACTGAAAAGTACAGGCTGACTAACGTTCATAACATATTCGACAGAATAACGTCTCGTAAGTACCATACACTTTATAATAGATTAAAATTCGAATATAATACGTTGAATAGCATATGTCAACAGCGTATTTGATACGAACATATATATATGTATATATATATATGTTCGTATATAAAACTGGTAGGAAGTATATATATATATATATATATATATATATATATATACTTCCTACCAGTTTTCTTTTAGTTTTGATTATTCATAAAGCCAGAATGCAAAATCGGCGAGAGCATCACCATACGGTTGACGAATCCGCCTACCTTACTCATTCAATATTAATTACTTTGTATATATAGCAGTAAACCTACTACTAGGCAATTGGAACGTCCTAACGTACAGAGGAGCGAAGCCAGCCGCTGTCCCTACTCCTAAATTTAATATGATACTTTACTGTTCGACTATAATGGACAATGTGTACTTACTCAAATGAAAGATACAGGTTAACAAAGTGAACACCGAACTTTTCCGTCACATTAAGAATGCACTGAACGACGACTCTCTAGGGCTTCTGACATTTGCTATGTTGACTTCTCTATGTTACAATAGACCTTTCTAATATTTATTTCAAATACTTGCTTTGATCTTCTCTCCGCTTTCTTAAATTTTTCAACAAAAAAATACGTAATTTAATTTCTATTTGTGGTCAAAAAAGGCAGATGCCAAACTGGTTAAACGGTAAGTAGCACTGTACAGTTAGGTGATAAATAATACACATGGATTATGGGCGCCGCAGTGCAATGGCCTCCTCCCTGAACAAAATTAAAGTATGAAAGTTGCATATAACCCTGAATTTATACATTTTAAATAAAATAGAACTGAAAAAGGAGAAAATTAGATGCTATGAAAGGCAGGTTTTTGCTGCATTTGCTTTTTTAATGTATCATACATTAGCATTTTACACTCGGTCCACGTTTTTGATAGTTTTTCGTTCACCAGATGGGCGACTATGATTTCCTCACATTTTTCACACATTTTGCTTTCGACACAGTGGGAAATTATCAAAATTGATATTATCAACTAAATAGTTTTCTACGAAGATGGAGCAACGGATATATGGAACGTAGCCAAGATTTCAAACTTTATTCCATGATGACTGAATTCAAGAAATTCTATTCGGATGCGTCGGGAACACGATACCAAAATGAAGTGGCAGCTTCGATGTCCACCGCTGTTAGGGCTGAGCTTCAGTTTATTGTATAGCTCCATCTATATTGAACAATTTGGCTGGTAAATAATTAATAGCAGTTCCCCGCTAGTGAAAGCTAATACAAACTGCTATGCTAAATCGAATATTCAAATACATGTAATGGTCAGCTCCGAAGTCATAAGATTCGAAGCTCTACATTCTCTATGTCGCTATTGTTGAAAATCACACAGTGCGAATTTTATTAAATTTGTTATTAAAAAGCTTTCTTTAAGTGCTCTAAGATTTCTTGTCAAGCAGTCGAAGTTTAATATGATTCTCATCCTGTTCCCATTCAGCCAAAATATTTTATGCACAATGAACATCCATACATAACAATTATGCAACTACGGCCAACCCTTTGGGACAATGTAAAGTATATGAAGAGTACCATCGTGATGAAAACAGGCCCGTCATAAGTGCAATAAGACTTTCGATCCACATGCAGTTGTGTAATTAGTTTTGCTTAACGAAAGGGAGACGGGTTCTAGCAGCAGGCTTTATGGGCGGACATTCCACATTCTTCCCTCTATCTAGAACGTTAGCAGGTCATGAATTCCAATTTCTTCGTTTTGTCAGAACAACGTACAACTAAGTTTGTAAAAGAAAAACGGAGTTCTTTTACCTTGTCATATGTTACAGTTTGTTCTCGGGCTGTATAATTCGCGCAAGGCTTTAGATTTCCTTTGCGATTTCAAAAGAGAGAAGAGAGAGCAGAAGATCTATTACTACTCATTTATTATGCATCTTTACAAATATATGAAAAATTGCCAAGCTCTTATAGATTTGTAGCTTGTCGACCATCATTAGTCTTGTTGTTTCTTGACATTCAGTCGAAGGCCAGCGGGCCTCTCCAACTGGCCTGGCCTCTCCTGCAGAGTCTGGTTGGCGATATCTAATGACACGTTGTTAATACTGGCAGTGGCGTTGTAGGCCTTTAGCATCGAACTTCTTTCAAATTGATTGGATTCTTGTTGAGAAAATCTTGTAAGACATAGAAGTTGCCTTATATTCGAGAAGTTTTTGACAACTGAAGCGGGCGAGAGAGTAGAAAGCATGAAAAAAAACGAGATTGTCGGTATCTTTCTTGTATCACACGATAACTAGGAAGTCTTTTCAAAAACCTTGCTTACATTTCTATGAAGCAAGAGGTCCTAGTTCGATTCAGGACGCCTCATTAGTCAATTGTGGTACAAGCAAGGCGGATATATTATATAGATCTGTGACACCTGAAACAGGGATTAAAGATAGATAACGGAAGTCAATAATTGAAAAATGAATCCTTAAAATTAGTTTCGACGATACAGCGCTAGATTGCTCAGCAAAGTTCATTTTAATTAGGAACAGCTGTTGCTTTGATTTTTTTTCATATTTCAATCGATTCTTGTCGGTCTTGCCTGCTCTTGTTTCGCATCCCAGTTGACGATTTTTAAGTAACGCGTATTTTCAACAATAGTAGTAAGTACAGTCTTTGCTTCACACAATTTGTGTAACTATACAGGCCTTCCAGCTGCTATTACCTAACATGCCACTTATATCTCTCTTGATGTAGTACCAGTTTTTCGAATTTTCGCTGTATCTCATACACAAATTACTGCAAACGATGCTCCTAGGAACATGCCGCGCGTAGCTGTATTCTCTCAAAAACCTTAGGCAGTAAAGGACAAACCTGGGAACCATTTTATAAATTATCCGGATCTTGAAATGGCACTAAATAGGTCTGAATCTTTTTACAAAGTAATCTGCTTCATCCAGCTCTGATTGGTTTTCTATTTAGTGAATATTTAAGTCTAGTTAGTGTTTCTCTATATATATATATATATAGAAACACTAGCGTAGCTAACATGCAGATTACCTAATACGTTATACTATAGTTATATCGTGTCATGACACCACCAAAGAAGTATTTCTATGAAATTACTTAGATTTCGCACCCAGCTAATTCACAGTGTGCTCTCCAGGACTCGCTTTGAAGGCTCAGGAACGACTGTGTTAGCTTGTGGTACCTAACAGTTCGTAACCCGCCGTTGTGGTACATTTTTGACACGCTTTCGAATGAAAACAAAAAGTGATTTCAGATCCGTTCAGTTCCGCGCCAACTCTCCGAGTTGAGTTCTTCTGTGACAGAATTCTACAGTCAAACTTTTACCCGTGGTAGAATTTCAGCGATTTGGGCAGCGGTGCTGCAGTGTCACCGTGGCCAGTTTTGACAATGTCTCGCCAGATAGTGACTATTCAGGCGGGCCAATGCGGCAATCAGAGTGAGTTCTCCACATGTCGACTATCCACTGTGATAATCATTGTGCATAACTATTCGTTATGAAAACATATGAAACTCTCTTTACATAGCAAGTCATTCATTCAATAACGCAAGTGTTCATTTAAGTCATAGAAGCATTCAATAACGATTTTATTATCTATTTAACTGCATGCAAAAATTTTTAAAAACCAATGTTCAGTGCTGGAAGGACCTACAATAAAGTCATACGGACAAAGTATAGTGTTGAATTATGCGAATGCCATCTCCCGCAAACACGGTTATTATACAAGAATATAGATTAAGAAACAATGTGGTAATGATGCCTTGATCGAAAAAGATTATTAAACTTTAAATTCTGAAACACGTGCTTGAAAATATAAGATCATCTCATGAACTTTATAATCATAAATATAAATTCAGTATGTTCTGCATTGGTGGTCAAGCACAGGTAGCATCCATCATTCAGATGATTTATAGTAAATAATTATCATTTCATATTATGGGTATTTTCCGAAGTATTTCATATGTCATTTTTGAAATTTGCAATAAAATATATATTCTAAGTACAGAATAGCCATTCATGCGCGGATCCGCTCATATTTTGTCGATCGTAATATTCTATTGAACTCGAATGGCTGCAGCCATTTGAGTTCAATAGATGCTTTAGATGAGAGACTTTGGGATTGGATCGCATCAACTATTGCTGGACTGAAAGTCTCAAGTCAGCGGAATATAAATTCCTGGTCGCGTATCAGTCACAACGGCGTATATATTCTACATAACACATATTAATGACACGCTATGACTATTATAGATCATCACGATCCAACCTTGCTATTTCAAAACACAAGTCGAAACGCTGCAACCCAGATATTTGGATGAGGAACATTTCTACCAGACTTAGGAAATCTTCTCTATGATATCAGAAATGTTGTAGAGTAACCGATTAAAGGACAGCAAAGTTCATTTAAACGGAGAAGTGAGAAAAGCACGAACGTCCGAAGGTTACGATGATAATAATAATGGAAGTGAAAACCAAGAACTTCCGACTAATGATTTCGTTCAACTTTCTTCTAAGTTCCCAACGAAGCTGACCAAATGAAAGTCATAAATTGTATCCGTGTGAAAACCGAGTGGCCCTTTCAAGCTTACACTGGGCAGTGGGCTACCATTAATTGTCTCAATGTTAACAAGTTTGCATCTATTTAAGGAATAATTTGCTTTATCAGAAAAGCTGATATAATAGGGTTAGTCTTCGAATATATAAGCTACTGTTAAGGGCCCATTGCATGAACAAGTCCATCTCAAAGAACGAGCAGCTAATGTGCAGATGAATTGCGAACAACGCGAAGTATAGTAGTAACGTCAAACAGACGCGCTTGTATTGTTTTTGCTTCGATGTGAACTAGATGATGAAAAACCGCAATTGTAATCTAAAGTTTTGTAGTCATTATAATTTGGTGTTCTAATTCATTTTACAACTATTTGACACGCTATTTGGTTTTTCTGAAAAGTGCGGACACCACGTAAGAGGGCAGCGTTTGATATCTCGAAGGGCACTCCATTCGTCTAATTGCTTCATTGTGGCAGGAGTATATGTAGAGATTTAAACAACTCTTAAAAACCAAGTGAATATGCACAAGGGCCACAAAAATATTTTTTTCGAGCCATTGATGTGAGTACGCTATTTATTTAAGTTTGCAGTTAACGGAAAAAGGATATACTAGCATAGCGAAGTCAGTAGACTTTAACGCCTGGCAGTCTGACTAATTACATTTATTGTTAGTGCATTTAGCTACTCACGCCACCTAATCTGTTAGTGTGGCCATGTGTCCATGTTGTTCCTCTACGAATCTCTACGAATCCTTGACGTACATGTCTGACACATCAATAGGAGACCATGGATCATATATATACAAATGTTTATCATGTATGTCTTTATACAGAGTCTTGCAGGCTATATAATTTCAACTTTAGGTTGTATAACAAAGATGTATAACTCTTTGTTTTATCTATCTAGATTCTGTATGCGTTTGATAATTGTGAATTGATAAGACTCATGCGACTAAAGGCCGTTACTTTACACCTAATTAAATGCTCTGTCTTTCACTGCCGGCTGTGCATACTGAATATTCACTGTTTAGATCACAATTCTATTGGTGTTTTACATTTCTATTTCTCTAGTTGGATTCGAGTTCTGGAAGAAGCTATGTCAAGAGCACGGAATCTCGCCACAGGGTATCGCCTTGAACCCAGATGATAACATCGGAGACTGCAAGGACGTCTTTTTCTATCAAGCAGATGATAACCACTACATTCCCAGGTGCGTTCGGTAGAGAATGGAGAAGTGTCACTCAAATTTTGCTTTCGCATGGCATAAGCAATAACAAGCATTTTCTATAAAAAATATCTGTATATATATATTCCTTGAAACAACTGATGCTTTGCCGTGGTTGGATTTTAGGTCGGTACTTATTGACCTGGAGCCACGTGTGATCAATACGATTTTGAATTCAGAGTACGAGCGATTGTACAATCGTGAGAATATTTATGTCAGTAAAGACGGAGGTGGTGCCGGTAATAATTGGGCTTCCGGCTACAGCCAAGGAAACAAACTAAGCGATGAGGTGCGTTCACAACACGATAATTATGCCTATACTAACACTTCTGTCCATGACAATGTTAGTAATAACGGCAATTCATGATAAATCGTACCTGACAAAAATAGTAATAATAATTCATGAGAATTAAATGGTTGATATTTAATTGTGAGTTACAGTGAATCCTTTTATCGCTTCATTGGTGCTAACTGTTGTTTCTTTGTTATGCAGATCGTCGATATTCTTGAGCGCGAAACGGAAAATGTCGACTCACTAGATGCGTTCGTTCTTTGCCATTCCATCGCTGGAGGTACGGGCTCCGGCATGGGGAGCTACCTTATCGAGCAGGTTAAAAATCGCTTTCCCAAGAAACTCATTCAGACTTATTCAGTGTTTCCCAATCAGGACGACAGCGCTGACGTTGTCGTTCAACCGTATAACTCGATGCTCACACTCCGGAGACTGATTGAGTTCGCCGATTGTTGTATCGTCCTTGATAATACAGCGCTCAACAGAATTGCTTGCGAAAGGTAGGCACTACACTATTTTTAGAGTCGCTGAACCACTTCCAATCTAAAACTGGACACCTTTTAGTGTAAGGGATCGTTGCGTTGTCGTTTGTTACACTGCCCACGGGGAGTCGTCGAACATGTGTGCACGGGCTTTTTCTTTTTTTTTCTTTACGATTAATTAAATTTTAGATTTAACTTCAAGTAAAGAATTCGAAAACCACGCTGTGTATTGAGCCCGTGCAACGATGATTTTATGCTGGTCATTTTTATTACAGATTGCATATCCAAAATCCGTCGTTTGCGCAAGTCAACAATATGGTCTCCAATATTATGTCCCTGTCCACAGCTACTATGCGCTTCCCTGCAGCGTTATATACTGATATTAAATCACTGCTTTTCCCCCTCATTCCTGTGCAAAGTCTTCATTTTTTAATGACAGGTATGTACATTTTCTAACGTTGTCTGCTCCATGTATCCTTGTTAATCAATTTTATTAAAAACTCTTTATTCCTCATAGGTTGTACATTGTTGAAAGGCGTGAATTAATGCTCATTGTAATGGATTGCTTAGATTTCAGTAGGAAACAAAATTCACTAATTTGCGTTTTATTAGTATAGTACTACATAAAGTTAAAATATATAAATAGCCACCACACTACTGTTGCGAAGATTCACAATAGTTCAGATATAAATTAAAAAGCAGTTTATCCTGATCCAAAAAACACAGTTAAAACTAAACTTAGTCATAGTGGTCTCGATGTTTATTTTTTCGTCTTTATTATTTCAAATTGGATTTCAGGTTTTACTCCACTGATGATCAATGATCAGGAACAAGCAGTTCAACGCACAACGGTGCTCGATGTGATGCGGCGACTTTTGCAACAAAAGAACATGATGGTTTCAACTAACTTCAATGTGAATCAACACTGTTACGTCAATCTATTGAATATTATTCAAGGCGACGTTGATACATCTGACGTAAGTCATTATTTACAGAATTTTAGTTCGACAAACTTATTTTTTTTGTTTTGGCGCTATATTTGACACATTCTGCTACTCATCTGTAATATATATACCACTATTGGTAATGTTTACCTAGCACTAAAGTCCGTTATCGATCCTTGCGCGTCAACTTGGCCTCTATCTAAGGCTGACTCAATCCGCGTATTATCTCTTAATTGTCGGCCAACGCGTCATGCGCGTTGTATCAACGCGTCGATCTGGGTCGGATACCGACTTGTAAATTATGTTCGTCAAACGTGGCAGGATTGGTCAGTTAAAGGCCTACTCAATCCACCTCGACATTTTGAAGACGTCAACTAAAGGCTAATTTGAACTGACAGAGGGATTGCTTTAACATTATGTTGTGATTTTTTTAAGCCTAATGACTATGACCTAACCGGAACAATCTGTGTTATAAAGGTTGGCACGAATGCAATAATATATATCGCACTAGATTTTGGCAACATGTGACATATTAACTTAATGTTCATAACGATGTTAGAACGCTACAGTTGTCTGAATTGATCTACCCTGGTTTTTTTAGCTCCACTCATCACTCACGCGTCTTCGGGACCGTCGCTATGCAACGTTTATTCCCTGGTCACCAGCTGGAATCCGGGTGTGCTTAGCTCGTCGTTCGCCCTACGTCAAGACACCCTTCCGTGTTTCGGGTTTAATGTTGGCCAATCACACATCGATATCGACACTCTTCCAAAAGACATTACAGACTTATGAGAAGTTAATGAAACGTGGCGCGTTCATTGAGCAATTTAGGAAGGAAGCGGGCAACGTAGATGTTATTGCAGAATTTGGCGCCGCCAGAGAGGTAAGTGTTGATTGTGTTCTGTTTCATCAAAAGTGCTCAAAGTCATATATACTAATCGGTAAAGGAGATTCTTGCTTTAGTTAAGGTGAGCTAGGTTAACGACAAACATGAGCAAATTGATATTGTTGAAAACTGCACCATTGTAGTATCTTCTTTTTCCATCTGCTTAGTGTCTACTACTATTGCTGGGTATTGTCGTGGCTATGACCCCTCTTATGACCTGCTTAATTATAGTTCGCGTGATGACGGAGTGGTAACATTTGCTAAATTCAAAGACACGCGAAGTACTTTACGGTTGAAATCGAACGTAGTCAACCTCAGTTTGTGTGGAGGCCAGCAGTTTGGAACGATGTTGGCAGTGTACATGCAAAAGGGATGTTTAACGGTATATATCAAACCATGTACCTATATACGTGTATCGAAATAATCGTAAAACACATGTTCCTTTCAGGCTGTTATGAGTGCCATTGAAGATCACACTGCAGCAACCCAAAGGGATTTTAACGAGCATTACAGGAAGAAGGTAGGTAAAACTTTACCTTTTATTTACACACATGCGAGTTCAACCTTAAAATCATTTTCATAGGACAATTTTAGTCATAGTAGTGTTTAGTAGAAGCATAAAGAAATGATTTATTCTGACGCATCAATCCTCAGTTAACGAATTGGTCTGGTCTATTTGTCTGATAGTACTTATTCAAAGACGGCCAAACTTAAAGTTATACGCAACTGAATTGCATTGCAAATTGAGGCAGATTAATGAACCCAGAAATTAATTCAACTCGATTCATCAAGCTCTACAGCACAGGTTTCACGAATAGAAGCTTTCAGAACACGGAAGTGCGAATTTGAATAAAAGTGAAAATCTGATTAGTTTTCCTGAACAATCGGTTTGAATTGTTCAGTGATTTCTCCTAATCCATTCTATCTTTTGGCTGTACGTATTGCAGTGTATGGGTCGGCAAGAATAGAAAATACCATATAAAGAATGCCACTAATTCTAATTCTGAAGAGATAAACTAACTGGAAAGCAGCTCGTGAAAACTAAATGGTGTTTTCTCTTTTTGTTTAACTTATTTTTCAATAAAATATTACTAATGTACATATTATTCAATAATAAAGGGTATTGACTATGGGCTGTAGTGAACGTAATTCTGCTATGGCCTTTATTTTAGACATGTTTTACTGTTTTTCATTTAAAACGAATTATAAAAACTTATTCGAGCTTGGTGATATTACGCAACTGCGGTTTATTCTACAGGTATGCCAAAAACTCAAAGGTCCAATGAAGTCAGTATAGATGATACTTTATATAATAGAACGACTGGAACGGGTCACTGCGTCGCGAATTATGGAGAATCCTAATTAGAGTAAATCATGCCATCGCCAAAGGTTTTTACTGTAGGAGGATTTCTTTATTTCATAATAGCAAAACTCTTACTGAAATCTCCAAAATTGCTTTCAAGCAGTAGTTCGCATTAGACATCGTGACAAAGGTGCGGAATAATAAGACATGTATTTGGCAGGAGGTACTTCTTCATCAGCAGAAAAATGCAAGAAGTAGATTGCTTATTTTTCATAGCATCTAGGACGCTTATCATTGAATAAGCGACCTGAGCATGCTTTAGGTACATTTCTGCATTTTCTGCGCTTTTGCTCTTCGCAGCATCTGCTTTAAGTTGTTCTCATACTAAAATTTTAAGCTGATTAGCTAACCGTCCAGTATTGGCGCACGGTTACGGTACTTTCGCTATCTCAAGAGAGCCATTAACCGGCGCCCTTTGTTTTTTTGCATTTTAAGGGAAGGCACATTTTACAAAGAAATCGTTGCCGTTTATGGTCATATTGAATGTGCATACAATCCATCGAAAAATCCGGGTTGTACAAGTTATATTTGTCGGTTAAAATATCTTCATTAATAGGCGTGCGTTCCAACTTAAATTAATAGTTAAAGTAGGTGTGAGCCGTTAAAGCTACAAAAAAAATTAGTGAATTATTAAATTTTCGGTAGGAGAATCATCGAAACGTTCTTTACTTGGTTGTGGCGCTATAGTAAGTAGTTGACATATATTTTACTGATTTGTTATGTTGGCAAATATATTGACAAACAGAGTTCAATCATTTCAAAGTTTCCATTTGCTAAGTGATTAAATCACTATAAAATAATCAAGTTATTGTATATCGACCTATTCTATTACGTACTATACTCATGAGCAAATCTAATTTAGTCTGTGTCACTTTTTCACATAAAAATAACTGATTATTGTTACAGTCGTCCGAATCTTCGATGTCATAATAAGGGGAATCACGCTTAATATGATATGGAAAATTCATATTTCAATGATCCCATCCAATGGAATGTCTGGCAAGCCAAGCTTTGCTTTCACTGAACGTATGCCTAAGGATGCTATTAGGCTGTGATTAGTCTTTTGTTTGCCAGTTACTGTCTTTTTTATGCTTTATGGGCGAAATTACACTGCAGGATCGGTTAAACCCATGATAAGGGCGCAGGGAGATTAGCCTTTATGGCCACGCTGTAATATTTGCCATGTCAAAAAGGTAAGGCGGATCGTTCCGTGTTCAATACTGCCGTTAGAAAGCGTGGCACGAGATTGATTTGGTGGTCGGTCATATGTATACAGCAGACTTTAAAAGGAAGTCTATGTTCAGGACCTGAATGTCTGCCCATCATACTTAGAAATCATGATATCGCCATGTTATGGCAATAGGCTTGCATGACAAAGAATATGGGTACCGAAAGCAGTAACAAAAAAGGGTCGCGTCAGTGGGTGTTTCTTATTTATTTAGAATGTATTTCAGCGCTTTCATTCAGCATTTCCTCAATTCCATCTCGCTGTTTGAACCACTCGCGCACACTCGATTTATATATAGAGCTAACCTGTAGACAAACTATGTGCAATATTATTGAAAAGGGTCGGAATAATTTAATAAGCTATTCATAGCGATTTTTAAGACAGTTTTGAAGAACTAGCGCATCTTTCACAAAAACGTTGAAAAAGTCACGGAACTCCGGCTAAATCTGCTACTTCTTGCGCTGTGTGCGCTTGTTGCTGTATTCTTCACAGATAAAGATGCCGTTGAAACATAACGTAAAAAATAGGTAATGACTCTTTTTTATCGGTATTAAGTATGCCGTTTGGGTTTCTCGCAGGAGGGATAGTGTTATCCAGGTAGGTACCCAAATACCCAGTATTGCACATTTGAGTCATTTTTCGAAAAAAAACTATTTTCAGGTAACCATGAATGTTACCAGAATTACTTTAGCGCTTTTTATTAGCGTTTCACAAAGCTATTAACCCTATAAATACATAAGAAATGAGGGTTAACGTTTTGAAACGACATACTACATATAGTTAAAAAAATAAATGTATTACTTTATAAATTTGTACGTAAGTGTTGTTACGAGCGCAGATTATCTGTCTTTTGTTTAATGAACATATAAATCAATAAAAATTTGGTCAGCTATTCTAGTTCAGTACAGGTAGCTACTAAGTAACAAGTCAATAAAGCTCGTTATAACCTAGAAATGTATACACGAGTATATGATAATTTTGCCTGCCCACTTGTCCGCTATACTGTGCTCCCTGTATGTTTTATCAAAGCATTGTACAGATCGCCCTTCCACAAATGTTTGAACGGTTAGATATGTTACCAGCAGTACAAATGATCCCAGCACCATATACGTTGACTAAATAGCTTAAAAACATCTCATTTAGTGATATTTTCCACAACTAGTGCATATTGCACACAGTAAATAACAATACTAACAGTGTCACCATCACGGACTTTGTGTACGTCACGCGTCTGCCTACGAGTGGGTATGTGTGCGTGAGTGTGCTTAAAATGCCAATGCATCGATTGGGATTAAATCGAACTTTAAGCGGTTTGTTTCTCATTAGCAATCCCTGCAAGTGATAAGAACATGTATGTACATCAGTTTATATTGCTCACATTGTGGACGTTGTGGCTATCACTGCAGTGTTTACTAGTTCGGCCAAAATTGTCGCAACTGTATTCGTATTATCATCAATTTGATATGAAATTCACTTCATAGTAAAGCGAAACTGAAATTAGTGCCCAGTGATATCCAGTTTATGTATGCATGTACGTCCGTCTGTTTTGTAACCATGAGCCAACATAAAGCATTACTGCTGTGTTGACCCTTTGCTGTCTGCAATTATCATCAACGAGTGTCGCGCTTTCCGTATCAAATAAAACTATCTTGCGTAATCGCCGACACTTGTTTGCACTCGAGAATAAAAACTGAAATACCATCCAACAACCCCCCGTCTGTCCTGTATATGTATATATATATATATATACATATATAGCAAAAGACGAATTACGGAACCGGGTGTTGCCATATTTGTGCGAAGGGCTACATATGAAATGTTGCGGTCATCCGCCAGCCCGAAGGACTGCAGGGACACCGAATACGCGTAGCCGCGTGCTAGCCATATCAGGTCGTATCGTCGATGATCTCATCCAGTTCGGTAAGTTGGAACACAGGCTCGTAATGTGTCCACTGATCGCAATCTCCCGTTATATTGCATACGCATTCATTTGATGGCAGCATGCGGGACAGTACTGTGATACTTAAAAAGTATGGTACGGCTGTTTGCGAAGAGAGGTTTGACCATGAGCGGAGAAAAATATGCTTAGCACGCTAAAGCGACCAGCGCGCATGGCCTGCACTTGAAGGAAATTTTCAAGTTAGATTATTATATCAAGTAGACGCTGCCGAACCGACAAGAAATTAGCTCACACAACTGCTGTTACTGATCCTGTGTTGTCCGGCAACGGTAAGAATCAGAAGATAAGGAGCTAGATCAGGAATTAGTCAAGTTAATTTGTCTGACTTTAGTTATTAGAATACAAGGGCAATAAAAACGTGTCTCTTTCATATTACACAGTGAGACTTAGTACTCATGGTAGTAGCAGCAGTTGAAATTCAAGTCAATTTATCTTATAAAATTTTAACGACGAAAAACGATTGCTGCTGGCTTTTTCTTATAAGAAACAGTTTTAGTATGCCGTAATGTATAATATGACAAATATGTCGATGTCTTTATTTATTTAACAAGCAAGTTGATACAATGCGAGGAGTCTGCTGCGGTTTTGCAACATTGAATCCAATGGATTCTAATAAAATTTTTTCATTGAAACAATGGCTTTGGATAGTGCTAACGCACGTCATAAAAAGTATGAACAATGCTTTATAACGATCATAACGTCGGAAATAGATATTATCACATTTTTGCAATCCGCCAATGACTGTCAGTAAAGTAAATTTGCCACGGTTTCGGTATTGCCTATTATCGGAAATAGTTTTAATATTGTAAAACTACAAACTCTTACACGCTATCAGTTACACACAAAGTGTGTCTACGCAGGCATTTTGATCCTCGTTGAGATGGAATCCCTCACCCCGCTACTCTTTATGGTTACAGATGATATACATTGTCAAATAGAGATCATCTCTGGTGAGCATACTCAGACTTCGTTGTTTTATTGACGTATATTTAAGATTACGTTACATTCCAAATCTTTGCGAACTTTGTGCAGGATCGTTGCCTATGCATAATGCTATGCATCCCGGCTATTGATCAGTAGAGTTTTTAGTTTGCTTATCTTAAAATGACGTGCCATTTGAGCAGAAACGTTAGAAATGTAATACAGAATTAAATCATTTGACAAATACAGCATGAATATTCTTGCAGCTCCACCCACGAGTACTCAAAGTGTTTACTGATTTTACCTAGGAACATTGCGTGTGTAATATATATACGTATCTATGGTGTCAGAGAAATAAATTTCTGTTTACAGACAAGGTTAACTAAGAATTTTTTGGGTTGCCGCCAGTATGACAAAATCGTCAAAGTTGTTTTTAAACACTACAGCTGGGTTTATATTACGACATAGGCAAAACTTGCAAAATTAATTTTTCGTAAGAAAGACTGTTGCTAATATAATTTCGCTGCCCGAGTTCAGCAGCACTCTGGAGACAAACTTATTGCTGCTCCTTAAAGTGAGCTAATAAAAGCAACATAGAAGAGCCTGTGCTGGAAGCCGTTTGCAGAGTAGCCCTGGATAACGCATTACCGAGCTTTTCTCGTATCAATAGATTTCAAATAAGCAAATGTTTATATTGTATGGTCTTGGCTAATGGGCCAGGGCCCTTAAAGTGGAGATAATTGCTACTGTTCGTTACATAATTTTATCGAATAATAATTTTGGCCAATATAGGTGTTGTGTCAAAATGTTGTAAGTCTATACCCTCTACACAATGCAACTTTTACACCAATTCAAAGCGGCTCTACTAATCATTACTGATTGTGTTTAAAACAACTAATGTTGCCCCTTTTAACCACCAAGGGAAAGGCTTCACATGCATAATTCTTTAGCACGCATACGCCGTGCCTATGGCATAAAGCTCAAAGAAGCATGAAAAACTCGGCGTTTAAAGCGTTCGCATATAGAAATCGCGAACTGCGTAAGTATCACATACAACCTTAAGTATTCGCTTTTTTTTTAGAACTTCAGGTGCCGAAGCCTTAGAGATGACGGATGGTTTTAAGACCATGGGTTGTATGGAATGCTTTATGGTCCTTTAAAGGACAATGCGTTGCGGTTTGTTAGGTTAACATGAAAACTTATTTATGTTTATACGTTGTCTCATTACCTATGTCAAATCAAACAACTAAATTGTGTGCACTTATTGTAAATAAAACTTGTTATAACACAACCCTTCTTGGATAGCATTTTGTCCTAGGATAACATCCCTAATTCCTGCCCGGCCTAGAAGAATAGCCCGCGCTCATCAGCGTTTGAAAATAGAAATGCGTGCATTCGTACACTGATCAGCTGTTGGCTCTCCAGCCAAACATGTTCTGGGTATCACTCGTTTACGTCTACAGAGTTTCTTGCTTAAGCTTCGTTTGTACAGAAGGCTTAGAAAGTAATTTAGTTTTTTTTTCTACGTGACAACATCAATCAGAAACCTTTCTACCACATAGTGCTCTGGAAACAATGAAAAAGACAGTAACTCCTCGATGACCTTAGTATCCAGTGGAATCTCATAATCTAGAACATGTGCGTTAGTTGACGTGGTACGTGGGTTTCACCGCTAAACTCCACCGAGTGCCTACTGTCATCACCACCATGTCACAAGGCATTACCCTGTTCGTTCTTTTGTTAGTGGGAAGCCCGTGTTACATGCAAGATTTGCAGGTCGACAGTGCTGTCTTCGACGGAAACGTCTCCACGGTTACGCTATCACCGCAAGAGAGCTTAGGTCTTCTATCACCACAAGTAATTGACGCAGTCAATTCATCGGATCCGGTAATTAATGACAGTGCGTTGGACACGGCGATTCTACCGATTAGTGAAAACGGCACCGATGCAGCCAGCAAATTGACTTCTGCCAGTTCAGCGGCTGCCACGGCCGATAGTCGCCGTGTTTCCTGTGCAGTACCGGAGATTGCCCACGACCGTTTGGTGATACTCAACGCAAGTGAAATTGCCGAAACGCTGTCAGCGGCGCGCAACGAATGCAGTTTACTTATTTTTTACTCTCCTCATTGCATGTTCAGCGCTCGCAGTGCTCCGTACCTCAACGGTATCGCGCGCTATTACCCCAACATATCTGTGCTTGCGCTGCAGATCAATGAATCGTCCACGGTCAACATGAAATACGGCATAGTGGCCATACCTACCGTTCTGTTGCTGCATAATTCCCGAGCAATAGCTAAATTGAACCATACGAACGCGACTTCACTAGACGTGCTGGCTGCATTTATTGAGAAACATACAGGGATACCGCAGGTCCAGAATATGACGCTGTTACCAGTCGATCGGATTGGCCCGCTTCCGTGTGAAGTAGTCGAAAGACCTAATTATCTTTTACTTGTAGCTTGGATTTTCACTATATTTGCATTCATCTACCTGTTGTTGCGATCGTCTTACGCAGCTAAAGCATACAACTGGTTCGTAGCAACTTGGCGAGAAGCACGAGAAGCCGAACAGGCCCAAAGGCCGCATCAGGACTAAGTTCGACAAGGAACACGGAGTGAAATGTGGAACGATAATATGGCTTAATGTTAAACGGAGGGTTGTATAGGCTGAAATTGATACCATGTCATTTACGTCATTTGTTAGTAAGAGCCACTTCAAGGCTCACCTGCTTCTATAAACGCAGTATGGCTTCTGTTGTTATTTAGTGCTTTTTGGAACAGGCAAAAAAAACAAATGTAGATAATCTACACATGTAACTTAGAAGGTGCGTGATGCTGGGTATCCGCGCTGTGAGTATGTATACCGCAGAGGTATTTGATGGAAATACAAGAAAAAAGAACACGGAACCTCTTCTGCGTAAACAGAAGACGGGTGCCCAATTCCTGTACATAAGTTGTGTTTATAAAAAATAAAATGTGTATATTTACAAGCTACCTACGTAGGTGCATACTGATTATAACTAAGCTATTTGGCTAGTTTGTGTTTCTTAATTTCTATTACATTCTCAAATAGTTTTTTTTCCATCTTTTTATGGCCAATATTTTTAGTCTTTGCTACGGGAAAACTCGAAGACTAGCAAAATTGGTTGCAGTACTTTTTTTAGTTTTTTAGTTTCCATCCTATTAAAACACGAGATTGGTAAAGCTTTCTTGAACAACAATGAGTTGCCCCAAGTAGCAGTTACACATTTAAATCAGGAACAACGTGCTTCACAATAAGAATCAACTTGCAGCCTAAACAACTTAAGCAACGTTCTTTTAAGAGAAAGAAGACGAACCCACACAAAAAAACTTCGTATAATTTAAGATGAACACAAGCCTAACCTTTTCGTTATTAAAGCACAAACATGAGATGGCACTTTCACTCATTTCTGTGCGAACAAAAACATTTTCTTTTAATCCAGAAACTGAAAAATTAATATAGGAGAATAGGAAAAATTAATGGTTAAAAATGCATAAATTAATTTGAACCTCAGTGCCTCTCATATATTGCTCTTCGTACCCAAGTTGTTTGAAATCTCTGTGCGTCGTCCTGGTATGTACATCTGCTTTCATTGGATTAGAAGCTATTACGTTGATGCACAACAACGACAATTCTAGACTAAGTTCTTCACGTTAATGGCACATGCTCGTATTTTATCCCTTAAAACAGTAACCCGTATAAAACGATGAAATAGATCCTAAATGCACAGTGTGGATTATACTACCCTTACCTTACGAACTAAGAGCACATAATACGTTGCAATCATAAACTATTTATTTCGTTAGCGCAGCGTTCGATGATGAGTGTAACTTTAGAACATGATGTACTTTATCCAGTCGCTGTATGCTTTTTATGTTTTCCTTTTACATGAAATAAATAAAGGCATACATGATATACAGCATCGTATCACAAATTTTTTCTGGTTATTATTAGATTATTTTCTTTTCCTGCATGCTCCACCTTTTCTTTTATCATAGTGCCAAAACCACTGTGAAGATGATTGCTCACGGCCATTCGCCCGTTCTCCTTTACGTAGGAAAACGAGTTGAATATATCATTCTTACTATGAACGCATTGGCCACACTCAAGGTCTGTCTGAAGGCTCATAGTTTCTCACATGCCACAGAGGTATCACTCGGCATTTACCACTGAACGTGAGTGTGTCTTCGGGACATCTGGTCATCTTTTTTTGTGTTTCAGCTTTGTTTTACCCACCAATACGTGGTGGCTGTATTGCGTAGTACTTGTTTAAAATCATATAGTCCTAAGATTTCGCCTGTACACAATCACACGCACACGTTTTGTCTTTTCTATCATGTCGAGTAAAAATGATAGCAGCTCCATTCAGTGGAACCTAGTCCTGTCTGATCTTACTGTTTTACTTTTTCGGCCTCTGACACTGATAAATTAACAATAACAGTCGAGCAGTCCGGAAGCCAGCTGGAAGCGTGGGCAATTCCAATTAGTTTTAAAGGCTAATGCAATAAACCTAGGAGGAAATCGTTTGTCTTGCACATATTCAACCTTCGTTAATATATTATTATTTATATTAAATATTTATATTATGTCAATACTAATGGGCAAGGAATTTCTTTTGAAGCAAGGGTGGTATGTGGAGCTCGTTCAGCTGCTTTCCGTAGGAGAGTTTCAGGCCTGGAAGAGTCCTCACCGCAGTCTCTATCGCGAGCTCCTGGAGCGTAGGGACGTCGACGTTCATTGCACACAGATCATTTGTTCGAAACTCACCATTCTCGACAACACCACCAAATACGTACATGCAACCCGTCTGAAACAACAAAACATCAACCCTCAGTTAGATAGCGACGAATGAATACGATTTCAAGAGAAAATATGTAGAATATTGAAAAAATACGCAAGGTTGAAACGAAAACCTTGTCTTCCCTGGCAAGATGGCCGCGTTTTTAGCAAGCGTAGAATCCAATAAACCAGTGAAGCTTGTCAATCAACGTTTGTCGAAATACTCATTCAAACATTTATCAAGCACGCTCATTAAATAGTTGATAAAGGAATTCATAAAAGATAATACTCCTGGTTCGATTTCTCGGTATCTGGACCATTTCCGGTGTCAATGCATTCCATAACATACAACTGATACACGACACGAGTATTTACGTTCTTCAAACTTACTGCTGTGATTGCGGCTGAATGGAAATACACTCGTTTAGGAAGTGTACAGTTAAGCCGATGCCATCGCAAAGTCGGTAGGTGCAATTTCCAGACGTCATCAAAGGTCTGATTTCTTTCGTCCACTCCACCAGTAACCACAACCCACTCGCCACAAGCTTGCTGCACAGCACTGTGACAACGCCTAGGCAAAGGTCGTTCCGGACCTTCGGTGTTATCGAAACCTAAGTAAGGCTCTGTTTGCTGGTAGCTCCATTTTAAAGTCTTCAAGTCGAAAGTCGGCATCTGCAAAAGAAAGCACCAATGACGATACGGCGACGTCAGAACAATCACATTTTTGTTAATATACCCTTATATCATACACGTGTCTAATCTAGTAAACTGATTGAGATTTGTGGTCAAGTGCTCACATTTCTTTACCAAATCATTGATCAAATATATCAACTTCATAGAAGGCAGCTCGTTTCTTAAAACTGCACGGGCTATATTTTTGCCGTATACACGATATGTTTCCTATCTAAGTCATCGTCTGCGAGTACTCTCAACTTCGGGTCGGTCTTCGAGGGAGTAAAACGGTACCATTGTTTTTTGCCGGTTTCGAAACTAGAGCTTGAATCAGCGCGTAGTTAGAAAAAAATTGAGGCATCCCAAATAATCGAATAATTTTACCATGAGAAAAAGTGCCTAAATGCGCCCTTGTGCAAGAATAGCGAGCAAATAGAGAAAAGTGAAAAATGATAAGAAAGAAAAATGCTACAGTACCAACCTCACTAAATCCGTAGACAAAAGACGGCGTGCCTCCGCCAAATACGTAGATCTTGTCATCGTATATAGCAATCTCATGTCGGTACCTCGCTGGAATGGAATCCTCATTCAGATCATCGCTGAGACGCTGCCATTGCCGCGTTCGCAAATCTAATCTGTGCACATCAATGGAATACACCTGACCGTCGGTACCGCCCACTGCGTAAAGGTAATCGCCGTGCACTGTGATAGCCTGAAATAAGCCAATATGCAACAATCTGAAGGCATAAGACCGCGGCAATTATAACCAAGAGTATCAGTCTTTAAAAGATGATGCCCGTGATGCCATCTAGGGCCAACGTACATATATGACCAAACAGAAATAAACACATTATATATTCTTCCATAATGAACATATATATATATTTTACAAATGGTTAAGTTAGTGATGTTCAGACCTGTCCATACAATCCTTCGGGAATCTCTCCGTAGGTTTTCCATCGTACCCAAGTCACAGCCCCGTCTTTATCTATATCATCCAAACAGCAAGCATAGACGTCACGACTTCGTATCTGTCCAAACGGTATTCCCGTGCCGCCCACCAAAAGCAGAATTTTGTTGTTAAGTAGTGTCGCTGAAATAGGATCATTGTTATGATTTAATTACTACTGTGATTTAATTAAAGCTGAACATTGTACAATATTTTTATTTACAGTGTCATTTATGGATCTGTATAGTACAATTTGCTTAACCCTTTTTAAGGATCACATTTTATTTACCACCAGAAGTTTGTTGAGACTTACCTGCACTGGACGCCACTTCCTTTGGGACATCTCCTTTAAGAGGTACTTTTGTCCATGCCTTGCGGAAGAAATGGAATCTCCAGAGTTCCGTGACAAGCCTAGTCTCACCGATATCCTGCGGTGCGTATCCTCCGAACGAATACAGACATTGATCAGTGCAGACAACACGATGACCCGATAGTCTCGGTGGAAATGCTTTTCCTGTAAAAAAGAAATAGTGCCAGAATACAACAACATAATTAGCATTATTAGAAATGGTCCGCCCTTACGGCACACCATAGGAAGCATGTGGACTCAAGGCAGTAACAATCAAACCAGTTCACCGCTACAACGGATTCTACATCGGATACAAGCGTAAGCTAAATCAGTTGTTTTCAATTCATACGTTGGATAACTGAAACAGATTTCCTTTTTGCAAGCAGATAAGATATAATCTTTATTTAGTTACATGTAGTTTCACGGGACCCGAAAAGATAAATACAGAAAGGGAAATTGAGACACGATAAATATCTTCTCTAAGCCTTGTCGTAAATGGCTAACTCATATATATATATATATATATATATATATATATATATATATATATATATATATATTTCCAGATAAATAGTCATTTGATTTGAAAAATATTTGCAGGGCAATCTAGTTAAGGTGAACATTTCTGCTCAGTACCCGTGTTGCTGCTAAAGCTACTGTTTGTCAAGTAGCGTCCCATTCAATATTGTCGAATCCCCAAACGCTGCAGCACAGCTGCCTAGCTAAGTAAGATTTCTACCTAATTATCTATGCGTACCACTAGATGAAATCGCTCATGCAGCAAGTCCTTCTGTTAAGCATTAGTAATTTCATAACAATAACATGTACATGCTTCCATTATCGCGTTTCATATGTATTCATTCAAACAATAGTGTGTTTGATACAGTGTATTATTGTCGAGGTAAAACAGAGGTGAAAAGAGACTGGTTTACATCGATTCATTCTTCTACTGATTACATATGGCTTAGTTGTAACGGATAGCGACCATTATAAATTATATCTTCGGATTCGGAACTCGAACAAATTGTCTAACAAACATCATTGAGCATCAATCGTCGCAAAGTCATCACAAAATTGGTGTGAAAAAGAGCGGCGTTTCCCTTTTCAGCAAACCAATACAAGTCTACCTCTATCTAGAAAAATCTTCCGCCTTGTTTTCTTATCGTAACAAGCAAATATTTCGTATGATACAGACTTGGCACTTCTGTAGGCTGTAAGGCGGCTGTAAGAGAAACGCAATTGATTTTTCAAACATGATCAAACAGAAGCTCTTCCGGTTCCTTTAACGGTGGTCCGCTCGAATTTATAAAAGCAAACAAAAAGGAAACGTCATTCATACAATGATCGATATTTCTGCGACTGAAAAGTTCCCAATCACACGACGCAGGGCAACGCCTTTGCAGTAGATCAAATCGAACATCAGTTGGCAAAAACTTGTAACCGACAACATCATAAGTGGTCGAATTGGCGTAATCAGTCAAGGGCGGTCAAATCGAAGTCGGATGTCAATCCAGGGAAGCTGGAGCAGCACATGACTGCATATTATTACATAGATATGGTACGGCCGCACACTATGGAATATGTATAGCACTGGGACCAAACGAGAGAACAATTTTTAATAGAGAATATAATTAGAACCGGGAAGAACATATATAACGACTGGTATGGTGAAATTAGTTTTGTCAATAGATACTCAGCTGTAGAAAAAATGTTAATAGTATTGATTTCCAACATATCTTATTTTCCAACATAGAGTATTGACATATGTGATATAAATGGGAAATTAATTGAGATAGAATTGTAAATAAAAATAATGCAAGACGATACGTCATGGCTGACTGAAAATGTTGACTGTTCATATGAATGTTCATATGTTCATAGATTGTTTATATTCAGGTCATTTTCTTCACAACGATGAATTAAAACATTGTGCTTCCAGTACAATTAAACGTATAATCCGTCTAACTTGCATCAAACGCATTATAGTCTACTTCATGAATGTTGCTATGGTAAATATGACCGATTTAAAAAAAATTCAAATTTTGAGAGATTCTACATTATCCAGGAACATGATAATTCTACCTGAATGTGTTTTAGCCGGTGAATGTCAACACTAAAATATCGAGATAAGGCTGGCCTACACATAATAGTAAGCAATAAAATGACGAAGCTATTTCAAACCCACCAAGTTACTAGTAACTGTTGAACTTAGTATGATCGCCGCTTGCCTGTCAAGTGCAGACAAAAACTAGTCCTGTGCCCGTAGCCATTGAATAATTCTAGTGCTATATGCGATAAATGTCATTAGTCCAAAAGAATCAAAGACGCAAGTATACCTGATAGCTTCATACGTTTTCAACAAATTAACAATCTCAAATTTTAGCAGAAGCAGCGTACCCTTTTTGCTATAACTTAATGCACTTCTGAATTAACGGAAACAGGCGACGCTATATCCGACAACGAAGTCCTCCTGCGTTTCTAGTATTGTACCTTTTAATGCCTTTGAACAGGGGGTGGTAAAACAGAAATGAGAACCAAACTGAAGAAGTTCAGTAGGTACACTAATCCTATCATAATCTTTCCTACCGTACCAGAACTTACGTAAGTTCTACTGCGCTATCATTATGCCACGATCAAGCTGTTGTGTACGTTGAACTTGACTTCGTATGCATTGCATTTCAAAATTGTTGCGATAGCTAAACTTTTATTCAATATAATCAGTTGAGCAATGTATACACATTTTATTCTACTACGAAGCAATAAAATGTTTCACAATGTTACGATTCTCTTTGATGTAATTCATGTTGCAGCACGTGAACTTGAAATCTCAATACCAGCAAAAGTACTTCGTCGAGTTGCTGCCAAGTCTAAGGATTGATCAGGAGTTCATAATGGACACTGGACCATTTCGCAATGATCGCACAATCCCTTATGCTGTTGACGTATTCATGGTACTGCCCGTTTTCGTAAAGAACGCAGACAGACTAGACGCAGGATTTTTGAAACGAGTCCAAATGCAAGAGACAAAAAAACCTGGAAACGGTCTACGACAATACCGACTGCAATAACCGTAGTAAAATTAGCGAATCGCTCCGACTTCTCTACCTTGTCACAGTCTTTAGTAAGAAGAAAAACAGTTTAACAGGTTAGACTACGAAAATCTCACACGGACTTCATCAGTAGACTTCGAGCGTAACGACTTCATACGATCAGATAATCCTATGCATAAGATCATATGATGAAGATCATTGCCACCATTGTAGAGTAAAAGGTGCCATTATTATGCAAATATCAGCAGTGTATTTGACCGAGATAGGAAAAGTTGCCGTAGCCAGATAGATCACTAACCATAGGAAAAAATTGCTTGGCAGTCACTAACGATGGTCTACAATAAGCGGATTTTATAATCCCTTGCCTTCATCTAGAGCGTGTGTACGTAATACACACTTGTGGCAAGCCGAATACCGGCGTGGTGTCTGAAGTTCGCTCTAAGTAACCACCGAGAATCAAACATGAGAAAAAAATTTTTCGGAAAGCGAACAGTATTGTTTAGATCCGAAAAACCATTCACAATTTTGAGATTCCGCAAATATGATCGTATGGTTATATGCCGTTTGAATGTTCTGGCAACAAAGAATTTGACATTTGCCAGAACTTTGAACCACTCATATCAGAACAATAGCAGACTTCTAGTTCACAAACATGGCGTGAACGAATTAAATAGGATATGTAGGGTGAATGAAGCTCAACACTCATAGTATATGATCTGAGCTTCTAATTATTTAACATTATGCGTCATGTTTTTGTACCCGATCAACATAAAGGGGTATTATTATGTGCTTCACAACTTAAGCTGGTGAATCTCTAGTTAAGGAAGCTAAGTATAGCTGGGACCGGTCTTCCCAACAACATACACTTTGTACCAGGTATGACTGAATAGCGAAACATAACAGGAAACACTAGGTTTTTGCAAAATCATTTTCACTCTTTGTTAGAAAATAGATTGTTTATGCTGCTCTAGCATAGCGTTAAAGCAAGCAGATCAATAACCATAGCTTTGAAAAAATCTAGTCAATCTCACGAGCTTGAAAATTTTGACCGGCACCGTGTGTTTAGATGACGTTAACGACCTGGGAAGCATATAACCATCTTCCTCTGATCAACTGCAGAATCTATTCTATGTTTACACAAAAGAACTATGTGATTTTGTAGTGGTCTTCGATGTTTTAGCCTAAATCATGTCAACGCATCATGTCACTCAGCAGACAAGACGTAATGAACTGCTAGTGCAGCAGCCATTGACAATGAATCTGACTGCTTTGACAAAACTTGGTCAGTTTATTTTGATGAACGACTGTGCGCTCGCATGTTTCTTAGAGATATGCTCAGTTCGCTCGTACGCTGTGCACGAATGTTACGTGGAGCCATACGTGGTGATTATTATTAGGAAACAGATGCGATTTTTGCACAATTCCGATTACAGCCAGCTAGGGTATTTCGGCTAGTGTCTAATGTCTATTAGTTAGTAATAAGCTGCGTCTATTCGTGATAATAATTGCCGATCCAGAATATATGTATTTATAGAATGTAGCAACATAAGCCCAATGACAGATCGCACCGCACAATCTGACCATACATGAATATTATGTTTTGCTTTATCGGTTTTTCAGCAAACGACAAACTTCACTAAGATTTCACCCGTTACGCTTGCTTATTTACTGGTCTTTCAATTTATTTTTTTATATTTCTCTATTTCACCCACCAAATACTAATTAGCTAACTTGCGTACGGACCTGTACATTGTATAATTGTTGGTGAGCTGTACGGTGCCGACATCATCTGGTTGGATGCTCGTGTACCAGTATTTGAGGAAGCAGCGGACCTATCTCCTGGGTTATCCCGTTGTAGCCGATCAGCCGGTAGCGAAGGGTCTTGCTGGTTGTTGCTGTTAGGCAGGGCGCACATGCGTATGGAGTTTTTGTTTCTCTCAGAGCTTGTTCTGCCGTTTTCGCTGCCGGCTATCGCGCATACGTTTTTATTTCGTATATTTCTAATCGCTGCGTCAGCTTTGTGATACAGGCCTTTTTCACTAACTCGACTGACGCGACAGAATAAGCGCAACTACACAGCACAAAAGAACGGCATACCCATACCCCGACAACGCAATCAATCCGAAGATATACCAAATTACACGCAATAACGTCTCGTTTCTTCACTCGTCTCTGCACCTGCTCGGCAGATCTTCCTCAATGCTATCACAAACAACAGGTTAAACGACAAGTCTCGTTAAAGCAAGGAGCAACTACTCGCTAAGAAGCAAGTTTTTGTTTGTTACCTTTTGTCGCATTCAAATTAAACACTGCACACGCCAGCAATAACTTCCCTGCCTTGTTCACACGTCGGCTACACACGCCGACACACTACGTAGAATTGAGTACTAATCGATCGACCATTGACAATGAGGTTTTAGCAGTCGCAAGTCTTTCTGGGCGTCGTGCGTTACCACGCGTTTCGGTCGGTCAACGGTGATGGTCGCGTATACCCAGTCGGTTTTTGACTCCGCGAGCAATTATCCTAGTGTTTGCTTCTAAGAGGACAATAATAACGACTGTCCAGGTCTGTGCTTTGTCGTTGACTAGGTGAGATACGCTAGTTGAGTAGAGAAACAAGTAGCCCGCCAACGCTTAAACACCCAGCTGCATCTAGCACTCCTTCGCGGTTCGGAAGATGATATGGCTGTGACCTTTTTCCCCGCTAGAAGCAGCGGGCAAATGAGAGGGTCTTGTAACAAGCGGGGTGACGCGGGGTCGTAGGACAGGCGGTCGAGAACTTGAACACTATAAACTGTGCGCGCGATAAATTCTTCTAGGACATGAATAATCTACGTAACTCAAAGCAAAGATGAGCTCAGTTAACTAGTTCGGTCGCGGAGTGTTTTAGAAGTAAAATAAATGGGTGACATGCTCTCAAAGATAGATCAGACTTATTCAATATGCATTAAACAAGAAGCCGGCATATTGACATCTACTAACTGTTTCATTATGATTTTAAAATTAACAAGTGCATAAGAGGTATTTAACTTTGCAAATTTAGTTTTTTTTCTATTCAGATTTTAATTGGACTTAACTTCAAATACTATGCCATGATGGTGGTTGTCACCGTTGTTATTCAGATATTTCTTTTCCGACTATTCATAGCACTTGCCGCATACAGACGCACAATTCGATCGTTACAATGATATAAACTCAATAAACAAAAAAATAAAAACAGTTTTTAAGGGATTTTTAGATTAGTTAAGCCTCCACTCATTGTACTGCCGTAGCCAAAAACTGTATGGCTCCAATCCAAAAAGTCGCTAGCGTAGTATTAAGTTGTCCTGTTAAAGGCAAACTATCGTGTTTTGTTATTAGTTTCAAGGGTACCAATCTGGCGCTCCTTGTACGCTACCTGATGATTCAAATATCAGTTGGTCGTAGCTATGACATGCAGATAATGGATCGGTCTATAAAGATGACAATTACCGTATGGAAGTGATTTGATACAACTATCGCTTGAAATCCGGACAAGTCCTATATTCGACTTGCATGGGTCTTTAAAATAGATAGAACAGAAGTACCTCCTGATATGGAACATGGTTACATAATTTCCCTAAACGTTTCACGCTAATACAAATACGATTCCTTTCACCATATTCCGTCATTATACATTTATAGCTTGTAAATTCGATGTAAATGATGGCTTTTATTTTCATTTATTACTAATAAGTCAAGATGGACTTTGTCGGTTAAACTTATCGGGGCTGCTTGTATTGTAACGGTGATCGAACCGCTCAAAGCTTAGTAAAAATTTTGATTTCAACAATCTTTTGGCTTGATTATCATAGATTCGACAATGTGTGCCTGTGCTGAGCTTGGCTCAATGAATATGCTTGTGATGGACAATGCGCATATAGACGTCTCATAGAGGGTATTGAGGATAGACGAACGTGGCAACTCCAGCTTCTTTTGGATTAGAGCAGTCCGTCCGTAAATCCGACACTTTAGCTTATTTAGTTTTGTACTTTACCGCGGTTCAAGGCGCTATACAAATACGCTAAAAATAAGAGAACATAAAAAACAGGCTTTGCCGCCAATGTCATACCGGACCTATTCCTATTCGTTGTTCTGGAGAGTTTTGTAGTGTTAAATGTATAAGTCGCTGGTAAAAAAAAGAGTCTGACCTTGTAGCGCTTTCAGAGTGAAGGGATGAGGGCTATACAATTATATGCGGCTTGGATACACTCTTTAAACACAGACATTATTTCTGGCTCGATTTTGGCCGTCAATAGTATATAAATGCAGTACTTCGGAAGATTTTTTAAAGTTAATTCGAGCGTAATATAATTAACTGTTACCGACCTGACTGTTTAGACTCGGCTGATATCGCTTCAATCGCTTTCGTTTTTTTGACGAATAAGAAAGATCGCAGCCTAGTTAGTCCTTCAAAAGCAGAATAAAACAATGCTTTTTAACTAAATCGTGGACGGATAACTCGTCGTTATGCCCCACCCTGAGAGAAGACTACAGCTCAAATTAGAGGCAAAGTGGACAATGTTTCTACTCAGAATCTCGATAACCAGACCCCGGAATGATTCTTTGAGAGTTAATATATCATTATAAGCGATTTGACATTTCCTGAAATACGACAGCAGTAGTCTTACCCCAGACTTGAAATAAAGCCTGGTCGAAAATACAGGGTACAAGGCAAAGTCAATAAAAACAAGTTACGCAATCAAACAGCCATATTATTATTAGTATCATTATTCCTAGTGATTTCTGATGATGTTTATTGTGTTTGCACTAAACATCATAATTGAACAGAACGTTAGAACTCAATGAATAAGCAGTATCCAGTATCGATGGGAACTTAGTGTAATGACAAATCATCAAATTTCACTTTGCAATACTCCCAGGCTTTCATGTCACTGAACATGTTGCTCGAATATGAGATTGGCCCTATGCAGATATACTACGATTGTAGTATCGGTGTCTATAACAGAATGCAAAACAGCTCAAAACGTTTATATGCGCGTTGTAATCTTGTTCATCACCGATGAACAGCTCCAAAACAAACCGCGACGATTCGGCCGCCGATTTGCTTTGGTTGTTGCCGAGGTTGTAGGCGCTTGAAGGCCCAAGTCGCGTATCCCATTCGCGCAGTTTTGCCTGAGATGACAACACTGCCAAACACGAATATACTTCCGTCCTGAAATAAATCGTATATGAAGCATTAACTTATTAGAAAACCAAAAACACACGGTTCGCGGTACGATTTGTATGACCAGTCAAAGCATTGATCTTCTAGGATTTGCTGTTACTAGCTAATGCCTCTAAACATGCAAACGATCTTGATCTTTGTGTTAGTTCAATGGACCTCATGTAAGACTCGACTCTATGAAACCTACATTATGTACTGCTTCAAATGAACACACTCGTATTGCGCAAGAGATTTGACGCTCCGTTTAACTTATATAACTTGAGTATCAAGGCAAAGTTATGCCCTGTAACGTGCTCTTTCCGTCACTGATCATCAAACCGGTGTACCTGCGATGTAAGCATAAGGTCTGTAAACAAAATACATTGTCGTAAAAGGAAAAAACATTTAGCAAGCACCTGGTACTGGTACAATACGATGTATGCAAAAATTTCGCATATTGTTCCCTGGTAGCCGTGTGGACTTACGTAGATACAGAGAGCTACCTAGCAGACCAGTTTGGTTATCATGCCTAGGTTTTGGATGGAAAAAAGTGGAGCGTAGCCTAGATATGCTGTAGGTCGAAATGTTTCGTGTTGGGTGAGGCCAACGGTTTGAAGCAAGCCTTTAAGACATTATCAGTTGTAAAACTCGAAATATTTGTTCAGGTTGTGGGCTCATAAGCAGGCTCCTATTTAATCCCTTATTATAAAAAAAAAAAACGAGAGAAGGGAAAACTGTTCAGAATTATCAGAAGCGTTTACATTAGCCATGAGCAGTTTACTATAAATGTGGAACTAAAAGCTTTTATTTATAACCCGATAGAAGAAACTCATGGATATTGGACTAATGCGGCTTAAAGAACCCTCTATTTGCTGCTGGCTCCTCTTGAATGACTTAGAGTCGAACGCTGGTAACTGTCCAAGAAAACAAAAAGGGTTCAACGACGTTGGAATTATTTTACTTATCGATGAACAATATGTAAATTATTTTCCACCAAATATACAGAAATTAAATCTGAAGGGACTGTAAAAGCAAATTAGTTGTCTTTTTTGTATTCAAAAGGTTATGCGAATTTAAATTCTCTCTAGATAATGTCATAATTATCTTTACTAGTTTTTTAGTATGTAACTTTCTAGATAACCATTACTAATTATAATTATTATTTAACTAAACATTTAGTATATATTTAATAATAGTTATTGTATACCTGTCAATTTCTTGAAAGCGGTAAACGGGAATTAGCGTGTTTTCTTCGAACACGAGAAATTTGTCCTTATTGACAGAGATTTCATAGTGGCACGTCGATGAGATTGCCTTCTTTTCAAGATCTTCTGAAGTGCTTAGGCATTCCCATAGCCGCTCGAGAATGTGCAACCTATGTACATTCATTGAATACATGTGCCCGTCGGTATCGTCACCACGTACAGGTACTCACCGTCAATGATGACTGCCTTAAAATCACAAGCACAGTACCAGAGCAAAGTCACGTTAGAAGCTTCAATTTTACTTACTGCTTTCTATGGGAAAAACGCAGACTTTTGTCGATGCCTGTGCAATTATATATATATATATATATATATATTAATAAAAATAAAACTGTCACCATTTGATGAGAGACGTTTCTATGCCAACATCATCTGGCGAGTAGCCATCAAAAGAATAGAGGCAATCTTCGCTGCGCGGAAATCGATACTTTGAGTGGGCTTGAAATGGGCACAAAATTAGAATAAATCTAGAATTTGTCATACTTGCCATCAGCGAACGCCGTTATGGAAATGGATATGCGCGTGATCCAATGCAGATTCACTTGCTTCACGCACTTCATATCAAAGGGACTCGTTTCTAATATCTCGGCTAGAGTGGTCCAAGCAAAGCTGTACTATGAGACTGAAATTAGAATGACAATGAGGCAAGGTATTGATCACGCAGTTGGCATTCTGTATTAATTCTAACGTTACTACGATTTTTGTTTTCCAAATTTTTTTTGTCTGTACTTTTGGATTTTCTGATAGAACTGTGTTGGAACTGAATCCACCACTACTGGGGATGAGGCAAGTGTTCGGAAGGTTTTTTGAATAACCTCCTAAAAGATTTTGGTCAGCTTGACCACCTGTGTGAAACGCCCCACTTTTGACAGGACTGGTATATTAATCGCGATCATCTACTTTCCAAAGCGGCGCAGGACTCAGCATCACGGTTGAAAATGACGGCTCAGATATGATACTACAACAATATTTTCAAGTGTTTATAGCAATAAGCTTATATGATGATTTAAAATTTATTGATGTTCGACATATGTTAAGGTTTGTCTTATTTCAGCTATAATATGCAGATAATATATAATCCATGGCTGCTAAGGTAAACTTTCCTGTAGATCTTAGCCTACAAATTGACTGCCCATCGTAATGTAGCTTCAATGTACTACATACGTTAGCAACCGACACAGTCCACTTCAGCGCTTAGAATTGCCCCCACTAATCTAAAGGTCCCGCAACTACAGCAGAGTATAGCTAACTTGAATGGTCGTCGATGAGCACAGCACCATCGGTGGTTTGCTAGTAGTGCAAATTTTTAGTTAGTTGACAAGAGAATCGAATTTGCTTAATTATATAGGAGTTCATAAATAAATCCAACATATGGGTCTGTTGCAAACTTCGCGTTCTCTAACTTACAGAAACTGATGTTTAAAAAAAAGACTATACTGATAATGTGTACAGTATTAATCTACAGTACAGATTAGTCTAACGTTAGATACGCACGCTGCGTTTTAAAACATGAGGAAGGTAATAATACATCATTCATGGCATACACTTATGGTAGAATAATCCTATTCTAGTTTTTTTTGACATCAATTGCGAACGACTTTTCAATATTATCCAGTCCCGTTTCGCATTTTTTTATTCTTCTCGTTATTTTACCGTTCTGATAGGAAACATGTCCTGCATGCTGGCTAGTCTTATAATCAGCTCGTATTTTAGATCGTGGCATCATTTCGCTTCCGCGTTCATTCTTCGCTCTTATTCTTAAACTTAGAATGCCTGAAGTGTAGCACGTACATGACATAATATTAAAAATAACATGCTAACTCAAGAAATATAAACTTTGTGGGTCGATAAATAAAACTTGTAGTATAAGTCAGTGCTTAACGGCAGTACCGAACGCATAATTCGAAACAGATATTTACTACCGCGAAACTTAAGCCCGCGACTCCATAAATACGACCCATTACCACAAGATTCATTAGTGTGACGGAGACATTATTTCACCAAGGTTTTGAAGAACATTGATGAGTACTTCAAACATATATATTCGCGCTTATTTGCGGATGAACGCACATGTGCATATAGTAATGCATATAGGAATTCTGTGCCACCTACATATCCGCGCTATCCTGTATACTTCTTCACAATTTTCGTCTCTGTCGAGCCCTAAAGCAATTCTGTGGGGGATCCAAGGGTACCTCTTTCTTGTCCGCCAGTTCTCAACCGTAAGCTCCAGCAGAATTTGACGATGCAATTGACTAAAAACTGTAACAATTCTTTGCAAAGCTAATTTCTTCGATTTGGTATTGGAGAAATATTGATGGCACACTCTAGCCTCTCTTATTTTTACCACTAACTATTAAACGTAAATTAAAATTCAAGAGAGTGGAAATAACCTTCCGTAAACATAAATAATGACTCTTACATGGCGAAGGTGTTTGGTCTTTGGAAAGCTCAACAACTTCTGTCTTTAAAATGTATCTAAGTAATACGTATGTAACGTCTCGAGTTGCGCGAAAAATCCCTTATAACGAATTTTGTTGAAAGAAACTTTCCGTCAATTTTGAGCTCGTCAATAAATCCCCAAATTGCCGGTATGAGAGTGAAGAGGACCTGAGCAGACACAATAACAAACAGATGTCTAGAATTATTGGCTTGTGTCTGGGCATGTATACATAGTATTAGACGGAAATGAAAGCACATCTGCGCATGTGTGTAATTCTATGGTGCCATTGGCGGGCCGGGGAGAAATTTCTGTGTAGAAAATCTATAGCTTCGAGTATTGGAAAGTAAACTGATTATTTTCGCCAGGTTAAACGGGAGCTGACAAACACACATCTATGCCGTCATTACAATTAACGCAAAATTTACAAATACGACTGTCGCCCCACAGTATTAGATTACCAAAGTACGGGTTTGACAAGTTTACCACCTGTACAATGTCAAATCTAATTAAATGTAGAAACAGTGTGAAAAATCACATCTGGATGATAATAACAAAGAAAAAGAAAAACACTTTAAACCATAACTGTGGCAGAAATTCTTATTCTCAAAACAACGCTTCCGTTATCTAGAGATGGTATAAAAATGTTTGCGTAAGAGCAATATTTGTACCATTTCGCATCATTTTGTTATTGGTGTACCCCACATTGTACAAATGTCGTTCGAATACAAAATTATACGTGCTGTATATAACTATCATTCAAAGATCTTTCGTTTATATTTGCTACCTCGCTGCTAACACATTAGATTGGTGGTAATTTGTAGTCCCGAGGAATTCGAATTGGTTGATCCCGTGATGGGTAATGCTAAAATAACTTCTATTATTAATTGAATTACCGGATACTTCTGCTTCGAAGGTGGGTAAGTCGTATAAACTTTTCAAATTAGAACATTACGTTAGCAAAATTTATTTATTATATCTTATTAAGTGACGCTCGATAAACACAATTTTTTCCTGAGTCGACTTGACTGGCAGATTGAAATAATATCTTGACTTAGTTGTTTCCGCGCTTGTTCAGACAGCTATGCTCCAATATTGCCCGAGGGTGGAGAGCTGCGTACCCTCTTCTTTCAAAAACCCAACAGTTCCGAGCATTAATAATGTTTGCCCTGTTGAGTACCATGCAATGAACTATCTATGGCACTGTGTCTACTATGAATCCCTAAAATGCTAACAGTGTTGCCTGCACTATATCGGAGCAAAATGTTACTGCAGAAGTATGACAACAAATGACAGCTGTTCGCAGTATGCATCCTCAATGAAAGTTAAACCCTACGGGCCTGTGTATATTTCAAGACGTAACTGGTAGTTCTGTTCGCCACGATGTGTCCAGGTTAGACACTTTTGCTAGAGTATAACACCAACGATAAGAGCATTGAATAGCAGCTTACTAGTCAGTCGATCTTATCGTATCCATTTTACCTTACAAAACTGAATAGGAAACCACGAAAATTCTTCTACTTATATAACTAAGACCATGCTCGTAATGTTAATAATGACCAACGAACTGCATAGCAGCATCTCAATTTCTGTGGATGTTCCGCAAAATTGAGTGTTCCGCACCGCAACTCATAGTAAAGGAGTAAACAGTACCAATTGTAGGCGTTCTTTGCATCGTATCAGACACTTATGCGCCTTTATCAACATATGTCGTATATACCTATACTCTGCTAAGCTCTAAAAGTTCATAGAAACACTTGTTTACCACTTTGGCTGTCTTGTACTGAATAGCACTTCGTGCTATAAACTATTGGATAATATTGGACTACTGCGGCAGCTGTTCAGTTGTCGTCCGTTCACATTCGTCTATGCTCAGCCATTAGATATAGTACACACAAGCACACAGGCGGACGTACTTACGTCAACTCACCCAGCTGGGTATTACTCTATTAGAACAACTTTCGTCGGCGAGGTTGGCCCTCGGCTAAAAAAAAAGTTCCTATCAACTAGTCGATAACTGACTTCACTTAATTCTACTAAAGCAAACTGGCGTGGACGGCTACAAACGCTACACTCATTTCCCTCTGTATCTCTCTGTGTGTTTATTTATGTCTGCGTCTATCATTCAGCTGTCGACTAAGCCACCAACTTGTCTTCTCTCATGACATCTTAACACTGTTGTGGTCGCTGTAGGACTACAGGCCGGCTAGTAATGCCACTTAGTTCAATGTAGTAGTACTAGATACGTTCTAGCGTCCGAGATAGGACAACAAGGAAGTTAGAACATTTGATTTCAGCCTCTGCTGAACTGCGCAAAATTGAGCTGAGTGGCGGTTATCAATACCACCAAGTAAAAGTACAGTTACCATTACGCTTCATCCGGAATGTCTAGCATTTGTGTGGGCTCTTATGCTATCAAAGCACCAGACAGCAAAAAGCGCAGTACAAACTCACGGATCTAGTTTGTGCCTTACTCACGCTTGGTACTAGATACGGCTACCGTTATAGTTGTCTGCCAAAAATATTTCTTGGCCCATCTGCCGAGGGTCTTGTAGCAGTGTCTCCGGAATACATTTCAACAATAGACGCCAACATATGAACAAGGTTCACTTTCAATCACCTACCGCTAAAGCCAAACAGATGAAAGGCCGAACTAAGTGCGGTTGGACACTGCAATGACAAAATCGACATTGTTAACTGTTCATGTATAAAACGTAGTACCTTACGAAAGGGAAATTAAAAGGAGGTGGCCCTGGACGTAAAGCGACTACACCATGCTATGAGTTACGTTCTGTGAGAAAAAAAATAAACAGTTTCAGTATGTTGAAGCTTACTCGGAGACGGTGTGTATGGGAGCTTGTTGATGTCGTTAATGTCGTGTTCAAATAGCTGATCGAACCATAGCAGATGATTACAATAAACCTGGAAAATGGGGATCAAAATGAGATTTATGAGAATAAGACTGGTGAAGTGCGTTTCAGGATGCTGTGGCTGCTGTTCGGCGCTCAAGCCCAGATACAAACGACTTGTCGACTCGATCTACCCGATCAATCCCGAGGTAAATATTTGTATAAGTACCACACGAGCAATAATAATAACAATATTTTTTTGTGAGATATTTAATATCTATTAGCTAGTCTGTTAATTTTCGGATGGGTCAACTTGCTTTTATGAATACAAAGCGTCTAACCTTATGTACCCATTAAGTAGAATATCGTTGTAAATTTGAATCAGAGGAATAAGTAATTTATGTTCATCATTAACTCTCGGTCATTAACTGATAATATGAGTTAGTACACAGTCCGACATAGAATAGTTTGATTACACTCACTCAGTGATTTAATAATTATCAGGCGAGAGAGTTAATCGATGATAAATCATTAAATTTGGTGAATTACTGCCACATGGAAATGAGAAAAAAATTCTTTAAATTGAAGAGATATTCTTCTTGAGATTTTAAGCCAATAACGATTGCTAGCAGACTAGCGATCGTTTGTCAGTACCAATCATTGTCGTGAGGTCAACATCTTGTTGACGTCTACAAACCTTACGATGTATTCATATATAGTGAAAAATATCCATTTTAATAAATTTGGAGAAAAATCCCTTGAGTGAACTGGAATAATATGAGAAAATCCAGTATTTATTACTTCTGCGAATAGCGTCACAACATTCTAGAACAGGTACAACACTCTTGTTTAAGAAAATTTAGTGTGATCTCGTTGATTCACATAAATGGGCTAATTGATTAACTCGATTTGTTTACGTCTTAGCTACTCTTGCTTAACCTAAATGAATTAGCGTGAACGACAGTATTATTTTGTTGGTCTGCTTGCTGACGGTTATTACAGGATAGCTTGGTCAAAATATCAATGGAGAAATTGACTTTCTACGCTGTCAGTTCTCCAGAAAAGCTTGATCGTATAGGCGAATACATTGCTTATCGGGTGCAACGTGATATCCACCGTGGACGGGATCAAAACGTAGAAATGTCGATGGAGGCCATGGACTCATTATTGGTTGCATGTCACTCACAAAGTCTGAATCTTTTCGTCGAGTCCTTCCTCAAGATTGTCCAGCTTCTACTAGAGAGTCAAAATCCCGAACTTCAACTGTTGGCTACCCGAAGCTTCGTGAAGTTTGCCAATATCGAAGAGGACACCCCTTCCTATCATCGACGTTACGACTTTTTCGTGTGCAAATTCGCTTCGCTTGCCCATTGCACACATAGCGATACACAAATGATGACAAGGTCAGACGAATCGGTTATAGAGTCTTGTTTGACAAGTTTTTGTCACGCATGATCTACTGGCTCGTTACTTTTTTCATTGAGAGAATAATTTTTTGCTTATTGTTGTTATTATTACAAAAAAGATTTTTCGAAAAGATCGACGCATGTTCAAGAGACCCAATGTATGATTCTAGCCATGATCCAATGTCACGTTTAAATAACAACAAGAAAGTGCTAAGTTATTTCGTTCGTGTATACTATAGGTTGCGTATGGCAGGCGTTGAAGGTCTTCAGGGCGTTATACGTAAAACTGTTAGCGACGAACTTCAAGTAAATATCTGGGAAGATTTGCATATGGGCAAAATTGTGCCCTCACTGCTCTTCAATATGGCCGAGAAGCTCCCGTCAGCAGGCGACTCCGATGAGCAAGGTCCGACCAGTAGGCTTCTTCGGCAAGGTAAAACAGATATTCTCCTATTGTCGGCAAAAAGTTAAGTCCCCCCCCCCCCCCAAAGCATGGAGGCGTCCTTCAGAAAAGCTGCTGACTAAACAAAGCTGATATGCAGCGTGCTTTTCAAATCTGCATCTCCATCCGGTTTTGTTGGAGTTGGGGCAACAAACAACTTTAACTCAACTGACATACGCGCAGATATTTGTTACAAAAGTACTTGTAGGTAATAAGACTCCTTGTGGGTAATCACTGATCGTTGACACGTACAAAGTATGGGGCTACATGTAAGAGGTGGTGCTTCATAGGCAAGTAGCTGAGGCAAAAAAATACGGATGGCAACAAAATAATACAACTCAGATGTAATTTTTATATTGCTATATTTTGATCAAATTATTCGGGTTGTTCAACTGACGAGTTAATCTTTTCAATCCAGTTTTAAGCACCACAACGAATACTTGGGGATAAACATACTCTATTTCTCCTGGGGTCATGCTATGACCTACAGTAAGTAATTATTAAAAAGTGACCTGAATCTTTTTCCACCAGTAGCCGTAAAATCGACCATTGACATTATAAATACATATATTATATCATAACTAATATTTGAATGTGTTTTTTTGATTTTCGATAACATGATTATAATTAATATATCCTTATTATAGTTGTTCAATTAACGAATACTTATTATATCTACCCGATTACTTTGATCTTCTTTCTTACTCATGACGATTGTGTTGCTGTCGTTGTGCGTGTGTTAATATTAATCGATGTGGCCGTGAATATGTAAGCAGGCGGAATCGACCTGTCTTCCCCGAGTGAGTATCTTGATCTTGCGCATCTTTTCCGAGTGCTCGGCGTTTAGTCCATGGTTCGCACATTCCTCCCACTGCTATTACTCGTACTATTTTCCTGTTTTTCCCTTTTTCTTTTGTTTTTTTGGTCGCCACTTTTCAATCTACATGTCGCCGCACCCCTTATGACCTGTATGGTGTAATGGCAGATTCTGAGAATAACCGGCCGGCACCTTTGCCGCTTTAAGTGCCTTTCGCGCGCCCGGCTTTGCGTTTTAGTCTCTTGGTTTTGAATTTTGGCTTGGGCGGGCGGTAACCAGGCGATACCAGCTAGCGAGGCCTGCGGTCTCGTTGTGGGCCGCTTAACAGCGGCGAGCAACAAACGGTTTACAGTTATTACATCTTCGCTGTTGTGCCTTCGTTATTGCTCACTGATTTCACTAGTTTGGATGTTTCTATAATATTCTATCTGGTGGTGATTAGAGCCATTCCATCGTGTGTTATCCTCGCAGGCAGTCATCACTGAATAGCTAATACGGATGCCGAGAAAGCCAGCGCCATCAGCTTCAGTTCGGCTACAGAATAATTGTCGGTTTGATGAAATAGTACGCAGAAAATTATCAAATGTAAATTGCGCGGCGCCCATCCCAATACATTCCCCTGCGGTAGGCAGCGGATAACTCGGCACGCATTGTTCGCTTTGCCTGTCTGTGATCTTAGTGCACGAATACCAATACGCTATTTGAGTTTGTACGTATAATTTAATTTGATACTATGCGCTTGTTTACGTGTGAAGTTGCTGAACACATAGGCGCGTCCTGCGATTTGACTGCCTCAGCTGTTGCTGGTTGTTTCTGCGTTTCTGTCGACAGCAAGAGGTTCTTTCCGAGCTCATCACTCTCGATCTATTTCACTAATTCTTCTTTTCCATTAACACTTTTGCTGTTTTTTTTCAATTTTCTCATTTCTAAACTCGCTTTCTTCCTCAAGAGGTTTTTCATCAGATTTCTATATTGCCGCCGATAGTTTTGCCAGCTAATAGAGTGCTCATACTATTTTTTGAGCAATAAAATGTGCTTAGCATCACCTGAGCAAATTAAAATCAGCAATTTACGCGTCACTAAATATGTCTGTTGATGGACGAGTACTTTTAATACGATTGCTGCTCGCCCTACTAATTTAGAAATGTCTAAACCTTAAACTTCGTATTTTTCCAAAGCCTTTGCCTGTTAATATTAGAATAACGAAGGCCTTACTGACCTTATTACCCTCGTAAGCTTGACAAGAACAATTGGACTTCTCTTAACCGTACTCTATTAACTTTATCCATCCGTTTTCGCGCGACGCTAAAATGACCACCGCCCGTACGCAGATGTTGCTGTAGATATGTTCTAACCTAGCCTTTCCGACAAACGCAATCCCGCCTCTTTGTCTCCAAATTATTCTTATAATTCGATTCAAGCTGCTTTTACGCATTAGGCCTAATTACGTAGCCCCTAACGACCGTATGACTCTGCGGAGATTCTCTCTTCCGTGGATTATATATAACGGAATGTCCATTCATCTGTGTATAGGTGCACATATAAGTTTACTAATGCTAATGTAATAGATTTGTTCTATTTTGCAGTGAGTAAGAGGTTTCTGGTAGATTAGTTAGCTCCTGCGCTATTTGAAATCTTGCTTATAAAGCCAGCATATATTTGGTAGTTGCGAGAAAACTGTATAGATGCCTACCTAGTCAATTACTCTAGCAATAATAGAGGCTCTTTTATGTGTGATAGGATTAAAGGTATTTTTCATCCGGAGTAGGCATCAATCCGGTTTTATTAGTGCTGCTCGATAGGCTTGCTAAAACACTGGCAGCATATTTGGGGGTAGTATAATCGGAACGACTATACGACGTAACCGCAAACAGGCGATATTGAAATCTCTGAAACCCAATGTTTGTGAAAAACTGTTTGGTTCTACGCCAGTTTAGCGTTTTGATTAACAATATTTAACTTGCAGTATCACAGTACAATATTACAACACAGCTCATTATACCGTAGTGACTTTACAAAAAGGGATATAATAGATATATCAAAATCGCTTTACTTAGAAGGATATACCATAAGACGCTAGCAACAGGATTAGGTTCTACTGAGCATCTATTTTTATCGAAGTAAAATTGATAAGCAGTTAATGTTGGCATCTAAGCTTTTCCTTTCCGGCTGGACGACTGACCATTTCGCGACAAATGCCTAAAATGCCCCGACTTCTTCGCAACAACAATAGCCCCTTCGGAATCCAATGGAATTATTTGGTGCTTTAATTAGATGACGACACGTGAACGTATTCTAGCTATTGTCATTTCTTAAACCAAACATATATATATATATATATATATATGTATGGACTGTACTTCTATGCTTACTTTTATCTGTTTCGTGCGATTTTAGCTTGTTACTCACTTTTTGGCTTTTATGACTCCTTATGACTTCCGCTTTTTCTTCAGACATCTTTTTTATTGTACCTTTTATTTTACTTCTCTGTTCTCAGATGTTTTAAGGTCATGAACATCCTTTTCTTTTATTGCATATTCCCTGCAAGTTCAAGTTCAATGTCACCATCTAATCAAAATTAAATGGCGCGGTTTTACCTTGACATATAAAACTAGATGAGAAACGGCAAAACATGCTATTGGCAATGGTAATACTATCTAGCTTGCAATTATCATTTTATAAGTATATTCAAGCAACGTTAAGTGTAGGGAGATCTAAATCTCTCGTATCGTTCACTTTGCTTGAATACATTTCTCCTGTAATATTACTTATGACCGCTTGAAACAACAGAGTATGATCACTAAATGCTGTGCTATAATGGAAAAATGTCGATCTCACACGCGCGCAGACGTGCACTGATCATGGTTCACTTTCTTTAGAATTAACAGATTTACCGTGAGATCTTTTTTTTCTAAATATATATCTTAACTATTTTTACTATAAACATAATCGTGTTGATTTGTTTAGGTTGAAGAGCCGGTAAGTAATCAAATTCGATTTACATCATAGTTTCTACTAAACACGTCTAGCTAGAAATGTTCTAGCAAATACATAATACAGCTGCTATTATGTTATCGAACGGTTGATTGTGTAGCAACCTGCGATAATAACGAGATCAGTATAGTCTCACCTTTGTTGACTTTTCGAAACATTGGAATATTTGGCTTTGATAATCTCTGTGAGCAGCGGGCCAGCTTCAGTTGGACATATTTACAAATGTCCATATTCCATTTGATATATTTCTGCAACAACCTTGTCTGTGTATACAATGATAATATTTAGAAAAGAAAATTCTGATCCTATACTTTCTGTTCGGTGAAAACGTTCATCTATCGGTTTAAATTTACCGCTTCTCTCGAGCAAGCATACTGCTTTATTCGAAATTGTTGCATACTCTGTATCTCAACTATGAGCCTAATCAGACATATTTGATCCTTCCAGCCCAGCCCACTTGTTTACGCTTTCTGACAGCCTGTGGACGTGAAGTGATTTTGGAAATTTGGGTGGCACATTTTCAATACATATTCGCTTATTAGCAAAATAGAAAAAGCAAAATTAGATATGCAGTTTGCGACGCTATATTGGCCATTAGCTTTAGGTCTCTGTTATACTGTATCTCACTGACTTATGCCGCATTTCACGACATACGGCGATGACAAACATTCCCCGTACAGATCACCACTAGAAAATTCCAAACAACTTAGCTATATCCTATGTTGTCTCCGTTTCGCTGATGTTTAATTCAATTATTTATGAATTTATCGATTTGTCTTTACCTTTCCGTGTCCGACTCGCTGATTTTTCAATTTTCGCTCGCGGCACAACCATGTTGGAATCGTTCTGACACCTTCACAGGTGTCCTGGACGGCTTGGGTTGCCAAGATGATTCGAAGCAAACGCCCGAATCATTAGCGATCACCTGTTTCCGAGAGCTCATGTCTCGTGCTACCTATGGCCATATCAACTCAGTGATAAAGCCTGTTCTTACGCATCTCGATAAGCACCAATTATGGGCTGCTAATGACAACACGTTCGCAGTTCATGTCTTCAAAATTATCATGTACTCGATACAGGTAAGCCTGTAAGAACTAGGTATTCTCTACTCTCTTTCTTTGTGGAATAAGATTAAGCTTTATTTTCGGAAGCTTCGAAATAGGAGCTGCAGATAAAGTCAATGCATACATAATGTAAATATTAGGCCCCCCGAAATAATCTGAGATCTATTATCGTTTCAATGAGGAAATACACGAACCTAAAGAAAAGTGACGGTGGATCATTCCTGTTTGAAGTTTATGAATCCAAACACGAGTTTAGCGATCTGATATATAGACATGCGCGTTGATTACAGGCACAGTACTCCTACGCCGTCATTCAACTTTTGATGGCCCACCTCGACAACAAGTACTCCTCACAGAGCCGTACATTCCACCTTGAGCGTACGGGTATAGTAAAAGTACTATATCACATCGTCAACATTGCTGCCTCCGAAAGTGTGGGGCCATCCGTTCTCGACATCTTCCATTCGCTTCTAAACCATCTTCGAAGGTCAGTTCTTACAACAGCAGCAGCAAGCTGGTAGCTGCTTAACCAAATGTCAAAGAAATCATTGTATTTTGTCACCTCCGCACGTGCCTGTTGTCATAGCTTTTAAAACGTAGTCAATGAAACCTGAAAACTCTGCGATTATATTTATTATACTCTGTACAAATGAGATCTAAAAAAAATATTAGTGAAAATCATCATTCGGTCTACTCAACTAGCGCTATCGTTGTTGACATTTACCTTCAGCGATTCGTACGTAATTCACGTCGGGGCCAAAGCACATAGTGAAGGCCGTTAAATACCGTCTCTAAATTATTCTCGAGAAGCATATTTTCACTGTAATAAAATATACGAATTGTACTAAGTCACACTTGAATCAAACCACTCTATTATTTAAGCTAGATTAACAATCAGATTATATTTATTTTTCCTTTTATGATTGTTCCAGATCGATTCAGCTTGACAATGAAGAAATGGAAGCTAACTTTCAAGAAGCCGTGATTGAAACGCTCGGCGAGTTCGCTAATAATTTACCTGACTACCAAAAGACCGAGATTATGCTATTCATATTAAGTAAAGTACCACATAGGCCCGAGGGTGACACCGCCGCTAGCCCGACAGAAGGCGAACTTCAGAGAACAATGCTTCGCTCACTTCTAACGGTCGCGACGAAGTATTCCACAGTCAACCTCAACCAGGCTCTACCAGTGAGCTTCTTGCAGTCCATCTTGAGAATGTCACTAGCTCCTGATCTAAATGTGCGTATTATTGTGCAAAAAATTCTCCAGACGCTTCTTGATCGACACGACAACTTGACTAAGCTGGAACAAGTGGGCTTTGTTCCATGCACAGGAGATCCTTTGCCGACCCTGTCCGTGGAGAAGTGCTCCCGCCAGGACGCAGTATTTATGCGAAAACTGGGCCCTGAAATACTCTACCATATGTACGCGGGTATTCTGCTGAGGTCGAACACCTATGATAACTTTGTGTCAATTTACATTACGATGGCATTAATCGTTATTGAACTCGGTTCCGAAGAATTACTTACAGAGGTTCTTCGAATCATGTTCGCATTGCAGGTGAGCTTTAACGATACAGACCACATGGTAAAGTAAAAACACCAATTAAATGCATCGTATATAATTGTAGGCATAGACGTGTGAAACACGTGTGGTGAGGTGCTGGTGATCAACTCTAGGTGACCAGTTAGGCTAGAAGTCATTCATTTAATGTGATATTTAGTAAGCCACCGCGCTAACTGATGACAGCACCTACAAAATATAGCAATTAGTCAGTTAATCAACATTTTATTGTGATCTTCTTTAATAACCGGTTTACTATACAACTGTAGGAGGAGATGCAGAAAGAACCAACAGAGAACTCCGTTTACGTTCACCGGTTCATCGCATCGTATCTCTATTTGGCTTCGAGCCTCACATCAATTCCTGCGATGTTAACACACGTCAATGAGGTGATTTCTGCTCGAGTTGACGAATGCCCATGGCTGCTTCCTGGACCCGCACCCACCTCGCATCCCAACTCTCCCGGCAGCCTTCAGCTGGCCGACAAATACCTCTTCAATATGAAGTCGATTGGTAAATATATGGCAATCGCTACGCGACACTACGACCCACTCACTTATACCTATTGTAGACGATGCGTGTCTATATATATATATATATACAACTCTCCTATTTATAACGTCTTCTTCGCCAAAGAATTCTTCAATATACGCCACTATTGATCCCGAATATTCGGTGCGACTATTAATAATTCTCATGACTTGGCATTTGATGCGTAGGGGAAGCTCTGCACTCGTCTGGTCATGACACTTCAAAGTTGTTCCAACCGTATACTGCACCTGCGGCACTTCCCAGTGGAGTATCCGCGCAGCGTTCCATCATGGTAAACTTACAATCGGCAACGTTTACGAGCGCAGCTCCGAAAGCGGCGACCGATGGGGCCCAGAATTCTGCCTCGTTCGATCTTGGTTCTGTTGATTCGTCTCCTGGAACCGTAAAGGTACGTGCCGTACGCAATCGGAATGTTCCTGTTATGAATTAATCAAAAGATTCGAAACGTCATTCGCTCAGTTAGACTGAACCGTAAAGTTTTATTTGTGCTGCAATTAGTTTCTACTCCCCTTCTTTTGCGGGTACGCGCGCTTAACTTTCATGTCTGTATGACGATTCCAAGTAGTCATAAAACTGTTGAGAGAATTTAGCTTGTACAAATATGTATCATGCATAAAAACGGCGCGTAATATTAGCAAAATCGGTATTCTAATATATTCGTTTTATATGGGAAAAATCGAACCTTACAGAAATTTGTCGATTTAGAAGACGTTAGCGTCAAAGCTTTCAAGGCTATGCTGGGTCGCACAACGACGGCTGGTGCTGAACAAAGACGTGCCGAGGTTGTTAATATCTTCAAAACGACGCCCTTCAAACAGCTTTGCCAAGACATGAACCGTTCTTCCGCGAAAAATCTTCAAGGGGCACTCACCGAAATCTTAGCTATGGTCCCACTGGATAGCGTTGAGATTCCAAGCAAGGTCGAAGCTGAAATGGTTCTACCTTCGTTTCAGACGACCTTTCCCGATCTATTCGTGTATTAAACTGCTCCTCCTACTCCTATATTCGTTACGATTATTAAACGATTCGTTGTTATTGTTATGATGTGCTGTAAAAAAATATTTGTGGTTTAGATAGAATCTAATAGAAAAACAAATCCGAAGGCGATCATGTACGAGAAAAAATTAGACATACCTTCAGATTTGCTGCTTTTTGCGTCGAGTTTTACGTCGAGTTAACTTCTGGAGAGAGGAATCGTCTACTTTTGTCCGACACACAGCACAGTTCTCAAATAAAGTTGTATAATTGAATTCGTTAATGCTGCGTGTATCATACTACGAAAAACAGATTAGGAAACAGGTTACAATAATTCTATCGTATAGTAAGTAGTTAGTTCTAGGGCTATATTCGATGCTGCTGACTGATGCAGCCTAGCTAATAATTGTCTCGGATCAAAGAGTTCATATGGAAAGAGACATATATCTAGATACATAGGCACGAACAATAAATTGAATATTAAGAACAAAATTTGAGGAAAGAAAAACAAATATGTTAAGCTATCGAAAGCAAATTATTGCCAGTAGCAAATTATTTTCATCAATTACTACGTGAGCTGCCATTGTAATTCGGCGGCATTTTGTCGTCTGACGAAAAACATGTTGAATCATATCAGAAGGGACCTGTACGTTAGTCGAATCCTGAACACAACTCAAAATACTGATAAATTTTTAGAACTCATTTGCTTAATTTAATGGTTCTTCCTATAGGAAATTGATAATAAACCTATTATTTCACTTATTTTTTACAATTATGAGACTCCCGCAACTGCATAAGTTGATTTTTACCGTAAATTATCACATCTATTCGCATTGACAACTTGTTTTTGCTGACAAAGTTATAATAAATCTCGTTTCGACAAATTCTGCCTATTGGAATTGATTCTGTGCAAAAAAAAAATAGTTAACGGCGTATATATACGTTACTCGTTAAGAGTAAATTTAATATTATCGCGCGTGAATGAAAATCTTGTTCCGGCAATTTTCTCCGTGAGGAATCGAAAAGACTCGGAAGCAGATTGAGGCAGTGTCAAAATCTTATTTCAATAAATCATATATCTAGATACATAGGCACGAACAAATTTAATCGTAGTGTTAAAAATTCAAAAGCGGATGTTTTTTTTTTGCCATGTATGGTAATTGTACCAACGTCCAAATTTTAAAATTGATATGTTTTTATCTGAGGTAATTTGCTTGCGATTGTGATTTGACTCGCACCTAAGTAACGCTTAATGAAGTACATCTTATAATTCGCTATTCAGTGCTTCGAGATATGGTTTTTGTTCCTTTCGGGCACTATTTTTAGTGCTCCCCAGTACTGGTTCTATTTAATTAGCTTCCTTTTTTTAAACCATTACAACCTATATGTTTTTGACAAAACCTGTGATCAAACTATTTTTTGGTCCCTTAACATTGTTACCTTAGTGCATTGGTCGCAAGCTGTGCGGAAGGTTTCTACAATGTACACCTTATCAATGAGTTTTTGCCAAGTTTGACGATCCTAATACCATTGGTACGAAATCATAAAGCTGCTTTAATCTCTTTGTTGTCAATATCTCGTCTCTAATCTAGAGCGCTGACCGCTATCACTAAGTACTTACTAAATCCTTCCCTGCCATGGCATTTTCAAATGGTGGTTTTATTTTATTGTTGTATTATCTTAAATGAGCTCATGATTTCCGATTTCTTTTGCCGCTCATCCTTCATGCGTTTTTCCATAATCATGCGGCTTGTTCAAGGACGCTTAGGGAAAATTGAATTTCTTGGGTCATAGATCATCGATGAAATTGGTGCATTTTATATAAGTTTATCATTTTGATTACAAACACACAGATACCGTTATGCGGAAGCGAATTGTATATTCAGTATATGATTACCCTTGTCGTAAGAGCAACAATGATCACAAACCGAATGAATATACTAAAGATATATCCCTATAGATCCACAGTGCAATGACTTTCGTGCGAAATGTAGTTTTAACTAGTAAACGCCGGTATTGGCTTGACTATCTGAGGAATTATATCTGGTAAAATTGAGGTCGATAAGAATGAAGGCCAAAGTTGATGATGTATTATTTAGCGCAGCCTGAGATAATAAACTAGCAACCGCAATCCAAAACTTATATTGTGGCAGATTTAAATTATAATACCGTGTTATTGGTTTTAACTAAAGCCCTTCTAATGCGAAAAACAACGTATTTCTACGACCTTGTTTTTCTTATGTCAATGATTGTAATCCGTTGTTCAAGTAAATTAATGACAGACGCATGAAAGGTATGCGTGAATCTTATTCTGACATGTTAAAGAAACCGTTCTTCCAGAACATCATGACATTTTAAAGAAAAAATTCCTTCCGGCAATTAACCGCAACAAGAGAGTATGCCAGTGCCTTGCATTCAGGCTGGACCTTGTACCGATTGAAACACTGACACGGTCTACGAAGCTGTGCCACGAAGTCGCCATCGCTTTTGCTATCGGTTTTATTACAGTTCATCGAAGCACAGTTATAGACAGCAATGTACAAATACTTGGAGAAAGAGAGGTTATAGACCCATATTCGCTAATTTCACCTCTATTTTCCTTGTAATAATTTATTAATGTACTTAGTTATAGGTCACAATATGCAGGCTCGTTACTAATCGCTAAAAGAAACGTAAATCCAATGGATCTTTACATATCACGTAAGTTCTTAACCTCTAAACTTTCATATAACCTCCCGTCTCAGAACAAAAAATGTATGTTATTTTTTTTAATTAATAGTAAGGCTATAAGGAGCTCAAAATTGAGCAGGGCATTTATCCTACCCATAAACTTGACATTGGCAATAAATTCTTGGCTACGAGCTCAAATGCTCGCATCTTATAACTCTAGTAGAAATTAAAAAAGCCAGATCAAGCAAGAGTTACAACCTAAAACTTGTAGGCCGCTAGAATTCCAAAGCTTGGCCATTGATTCCCAATGACATTAACTGAAATCCTCACGCTCCATTTACCCTTTCCCAACACCGTGGTACGGTTGTGGCACTATTTGGACGCAAAGGCCGTATCACGTCTGCGTTATCGGCACTGTGTCAGCTTTTCCCGACGAATTTGATTCGTTAATAACGAACGATCAGACAGAAGGGAAGTCGTGTTGATGCTGGTGGACGTGCAGGAGTTCGCAAGTAAGCTAGGGCGCTACTGCCGTACTGGGAAGATCTCTACTGCGTAAGTGTCCCTCTCGATCATCTAGCTGAGATTCATCGCCAAATGTTGTTACTCGCCAGTTTCCCTTAACCACTGGGGCTACCGCCAAAGCTCTCGGTAGCGGGTAACTAGCTTTCGGATGCAGGAAAGCTTTTGGTAGTTGTTATTGTTCTCGCTGTTGCCGCAACTGTAATAGTATTGGCAGCCCTCGCAGTCAGCGAGTGTGAATCGCCGCCGTGGAAGAAAAGGAAGACCGTCGCCATACTGTGTCGTTACGTTTCATTACTGCTGTCGAAAAGTGCCCCACCATCACATTGGCGATCGTGAAGTGTTAGTGCACATTTGGTGATGGTATGAAACGGGTACCGATAATACTAAATAGCTAACGTAACCTGGCATACTATTCGAGTGATAAGTGTTCGACTGATTTGATTGAGAGGAGGTGGCAGAAGAGTTCGAGGCAGTTCTTTTTGACGACGGCAGTAAACAAGCGTCGACGCGGATGTACTGCTGGAATAACATCAACAGTGGACAGCAAATAATGCTGCTGCTTCACCGTTTGGCGGTCGATGCTGGCACCTCTTAGCTGGTCCATCTGTCGTCGAGAAGTGACCGACAAACACCCGCACGAGTTTGTCCGCAATAATGTATCACGTAATGACTTAAGTTCGAATTTGCGACGAGAAAAGACATCACCGTCATTTTCAGTCTCTCTACTGAGATTCAGTGAATAACGCGGTCGTTCCAATCGTTTATAAGGTTTACTGGCCGTAGATACATGTATATCCACTCCTACTGATCATCATCATGTGGCCTAACTAAATAGTATGTATAAAGTAGTATATTGCCGGTCGCCCAAATGCTGCTTCTGCCAGGACAGTAACGTTTCGCCATTGAGCGATGTGGACAGTGTGACTCGAACAACTATAACTAGACCTCTACCAGCTGGCGATAATTCCACAGGAGTACGCTCAACATACGCATCAATTTGACGCTGCTCTCGCCTCTTCTGTCATCGCTGTTACTCCCGTTAATGTCGTGTAACGGCAGCAGTAGTAAAATTTCAAACGATTAACAAATGCGCTAAGAGCGGCATTAATACTGGAAGCGGCAACGTTTGTTGTAACCGCATTATTGAAGAATCAAGCCAGTATCAGTAAAACGTTACGAAAACGCCTCAGACAAAGCAACAGAACGAGAGAAAACGGCCACACACAGAGTGAGCAAGCAAAGGTCGACTACTAATAGGACGGACGAAATCGTTGGATAAAAAATTATTTAGTGAGGAGCATTTCCTTTAGTTGTTTGTGTCGTGGTCATAATGTGTGTACAGGTTAATACAAATACGCCTCTTTTCGTTTGAGTTTGATATCATCGCGACTGCTGAGGCCGCGTATTGTAATAGTAACCGCGTAATAGTAACGGCGGTACCAGCGGCGAGAAGGTTCGACCCCAAATACTGCACCACTATCGAGGATTATTTTTCCTGTCGCAAAAGGAAAAGGAGAAATCTAAAGGCCCAACTTGATCTTTCTCACATAATCAAAATCTCAAAATCGATACGCAGTCTGAAGCAACGCAGGATCATAAGCGATATGGTCGTGGCAGAAGCGCCTGTCTACTTGTATTTGTAGGTCGTTGTCGTAGTGCTCGTGTTACCACTGGTGGCTCGAGCTACCATTGCGTGTTCTACTTTATCATATACCACTTCAGAGAGGTGTTGTACATGCCGCTAACAGGCAACTGATTAGCCTACTGTAAATAAGTAAGAGGCGACAGTAAACGAAAAGCTGCTATAGGATCATTTATAAGCATTGATTAACCATAGAGGAGACGTAGTAGTGTGCGTAATTGAGTGAATTCTGCTAATGTGGGTAAGTTTCCATCAACGATCCGAGCCAAACCGACGAACAGGGGCATCTAAACAAGTGCCAGTAGAAACGAGTATCAGTTGATAAGGTTTACCAGCTACTGCGGCGGACTAAGCAATACATTGTCTCTTTGAATGTAGTAGTAAATCTCCTGGGACCCCTTGAACAAAGCATCACCTGCGCACGCAGCCCTGCTCCCACCTGACGTTGGGTGGTGACGCACCGCTGTTACAGTCGCAGGCGCAGCGGCATAAAACTAGCCTGAAACATGCTTCTAGACATGACGACTACATCGGGATCACATCCATCCGTTGGACTGGGCCAGCACGATCAGCCCATGCCATCACATCCGGCCACGGGAGGTGGCGAAGGTGGCCGACGAGTAAAACCATTGAACGACCACTTTCCCGGCTGCCGCCTATTAACTACTGAGGAAAATCAGGCACTTCGAAACCAGTGTGACGTCCTAAATTACGTGGTAAGTATCGTACATGTATGCAGACTTGCTCAAGTGCTTGAGGTCTCGTAGTTAATAAAAAATATAGTTAGACACTGGCCTGAGGATTTAGCATAAAAAGGCGGCAAAAACTGGTCCAACTTTTGAAATCAAATGGTTGAGACAATTTTTTTGCAAGTACTACTAGACTGCTGCATTTCAACAACGAGAGCGAAAATTAGGCAGTATATTGCATCGACGCATTTTTTTATAATTGGCATGATACAATGACTGTACGGTGATCATAGTATTAATAAACGAATTTTATGAATGAATTGCGGGTTGATGGTCATATAGTTCGAAATGACAACATAATGACATTCACCCAAACAGGCACACAGAGTTGTACAGCGAATTTCAATATAGCTCTGACATGTCTTCGGCAACTGCCTTTTCCGAAACTACAGGTAACTATAGCGCGTAACGGCTGTACCGCAAAATGCCCAAACGGTGACCGATTACATTCTTGACGAGGCGAAAAACAGAAAGACAGAAAAATCTGTTGTCTTTTTTTAATTATACCAGCATTCGAATATACCCAAATAGTTCTGTTATCGAGTGATTGATGTGGGGTGATTGACATTTTGCTAATTTTAGGTTCCGCATTGTATATAGGTGACGTGTTTGTGTTATCCCTCGCTAGAAACTAAGGATAGTCGTTTCCAGCGTTTGCTGAACAAGAACTACGTATAGTGCTATATTAACTTGTACCGAGAACTGTTTTGATGGTATATCAGTCAATGTATTAGATTCGTTGTAGTTGTGGGAGTACAGGCAGCTGCTTTGATAATAATAGTTATGAAATATAGAACTGAAGTGACGTCGCGTGCGTCTCTCTACAAATCATGTATTTATGTATGCATGTACCGTGTAAAGTCAAATCATTACCATCTGAACATATTCAAGAGGCTGTCAACTTTAAGAGAAGTGTTTTCTTTTCCAATTCGACCCGCAGTTGTCTCCAACAGCTGGTGGACGGTATTCTGCCGTTTGTGGATGTTGGCGCTAAGCAACCAGCAAGCAAAGAAGCATTAAAAGAAGGGGTAATAGAATTCGACGAAGTTCTTAGAACCAAAAACAATATTCCGTTCGGAGTTATGAACAACTCCGAGCGGAATATTGTTTTTTTTGCCGTTGCACCAAAAACTCGGTTCCGGCAGAATCTAGTTGTTATTCTCAACGACAAGGAGGTCGCTTAATTATTCAACGAGTAATTGATATCTGTGTGGTGCGCTTGTCAAATCATACAGGTGCCATAATTGCTAAACTCTGAAATCTACCTGGTGTATTTTTTGGAGCCGCGAAATGTTCCCGCGCCGTTCGGCGGTTAAACTAGGTTCTACTGAGAGTACTGATAAGAATACTTTGTTAATTCTATCCATTCGAACGAATTGCCAATAAAAAGGACTAGCGAGCTTGCCCGACTTATCTCCAAGTTGCTGAGCTGCGATAGCATCTTTATATCAATATCAATATCAGTGGAGCAATCAATGAGGATTAGCAGGGTATCTAAGAAGATTAAAGATACAGATCAGAATCGACGTCGGATGTGGTTTAGCACCTGTTGGCAATCTGTCAACGGACATAGAGCTCATAAAATTAAAAACGGTTCATCCCGTTGCCTTATATAGCACAATGAAATGTGTTTAATAAAAATCAATTAACACGACACTGGATTGGGCAAGAAAAATACTTTTATAGTAATAATCCCGTCTAATATTTGTATTATTATTATTCTTATAAACTTGCTGTAATTGAGTTTATAAAGTGACTTATTTTGAAGTTTCTGTATAACGTGTATAGCGTTCTGTATAGCGTATAGCTTTTCTGCGCACCTTATCATTTATATGAAATAATATATATATTAGTAGCTTATATTATGTATGTTCTACATGCATAAGGAGTTATACACGACACTTTTACTGTTGCCATCTATTATATGACATTATCAGTTAGCGACTAGCTGACAAGCTAATAACATCCGAACCAGCAATTAATGCTGTACCGTATCGTACAGTGCTGTGTAATGCTGCCTTCATTAGCAACTAGGTACCGAAATCTTTTTCTTGCCAAAATCGAAGATAAAAAAAATTATTATTCTGCTGGGCCAATATATATATATATATATATATATATATATATATATATATATATATATATTTCGTGTCCAATCTCATGCACTAATTGTGAGTGTCGAAAACAGTTACAACCTCGTGCCTCTTTAGACAGGCAGATAACAATGAAGTGAATTACACACAGCGAAAAAGCAAGATACAGAAAAAAAAAAACAAGAAATTCGCGGGAAGTTCGTCGACTGTTGCAACTGTATCTATAAACAGAAGGCGCAAACTAGCATTGTCGCTTGCGACCGAAAAGCGATCGACCATGAGGGCCAATTTATGCGACCAATATACTAATACGGCGAATACAACGGTGACCGGCAGCTGCCCTGACCATCATCATCTCCAGCCAGCGTCGTTGCCGGCCGCACCATATCGTAATACTGCCGGGTTCTATGGCCAATCCTCATATTGGTTCCACGATGACCAACATGAGGCTTGTCTGATTCTGTCGATGCCGCTTGATGACGGTGTCTAGTGGACAAGAGCTACGACGTTCGCGCGGACACACGGTCGGCCTACCAGCTAGCTGTTAATCCGTAAAGCTGGTCAGCTAAGCACTGTGGCAACGAGAAAGCCGACAGGACATGCGCTAATAATCGCATTTTCTTCTCGATTTTTCTGCTGCTGTTGCTTCTACGGCCCCAGTGGCTACAGTAGCGGTTGTTCTTGGTAATACTGCTGCTGCTGTTACCACTGTTGTAAGACCCAGCGCCTGGCGTTCGTCAGCCGACCGGTAACTTCTGCCGCTTCTGGCTCTCTGTAAACGTAATACGGCAGCATCGAAACGTACATTTTCACTCAAGCGACGATGTATGTGGGCAGTTATTAACGTATGGATCTACGTGCGATAAGTTCAACACGTATTGTCAAGAGGAGGAGGAGCAAAAGCAAAAGGTAGAGAGGGACTGGGCCAATAAATTGTATTTGACAGCTGGTTCGACTAGCAGCCTTAAAAACCAAAGCATGATGTGGATGTAGGTCGTTGTTGAATGAGTACGTCGTCGTGCTCGTTGCTAACTTTTCATCCGGATATCCGGTTTATGTACTGCAGAGAAAAACGATAGGGAGACAATGAAAAGGATGACTGTCTCTGGACACTCGCTCTTTGATTCTGTTTTCGAGTTCGAGCTAACAACGAAGCTTTGTTAGTTAGTGACTAATGCAAAGGACCTAGACGCTTTGGAGCATCGGTGACAAACACTGAGCCGTGACGTGTAAAGTGGTCAAACGTAGAACGTTATAAAAACAAAGCACGCAAAATGATGAACTAGCGTACATGCAAATGAAGGGAGATAAGATTCGATTGTATGTAGGCTGGATGAGCTACTGTGATGACGAGCGAACGACATGCAACACACCGCTCTTGGCTGTGCGGATCATAAAGGTGCTGAGGGTCAGCATGTCAACTGGTACTTGTTTCGTGCCATGTTCTAACACGACGCGAAACGAGAACCAGGCCTTCACAGGAGCGAAGGCAACGCTTGGTGGTGGCACAGATGTACAGGTGCAGCGGAAACCACTTACTGAGTTGCTGGTTTGGTGGAATAATCTATGACAGTGCTAACACGTGGCTCGTCAAGCAATTCATCGTTCATGCACGCTAGCAGTGAGTTTTACGTGCTTGGAAGACAGAATGAGATTACATTTATGTAGCAATCCAAGTATAGCTCTTCAACAAACGGCTAATAGTTACTCCTTATGAAGAATGGAGTAAGGTTTGATTGGAAATCATATATCTTACTAGATACTAATGAAACAGTGAAAAAAATTTGTTACATTCGAAAGAAATGCGTAGAGGATGAAAATAATGAGTTATCTTTGAAGTTTCGTCATGTCTGCCCCAATATGTTCATTTTTAAAATCGGCTTTACTTCAAACAAGCGTTAGAATGGAATTTCAGGCTTCAAACATCTGTCTGAATGATTCTAAACCGACACTGGAATCACTGTTCTACGGTGAAATTGCTAGACGAGAGAGATATTATTTGAATTTGACCGTAAAAAAAATACTGCGCTTAAGACCTTGGGAGCTTCTAACGATTCCGCGTAAAAGTATAACATTAGGCTTTATGTACGACTTATTACGCGTTGATAGCGGACGAACAAAATAGCGAGAATAATATAATTGCTGCTAATGTGATATTATAATACAGTGACGTGAAAGAAGTATTCTCGAAGAACAAAGCAAATTTGTTTTATACCCTCTAAGCTTCGGTTTCATCTCATACGAGCGAGCCATTTTCTTGAGTATTTCGGTCGTCGCGTGAAGTTAAATGCGTATATGTACAATATCGTCATGATTACAGGGTGCGCAAAGATCGAGCGGAAACATTTAAAAGAAATATTTAGGCATCTTATGTATGACAATTATACTAGGATGTCAAAATCATACCACTGCTCCTTGTTATGACGACATAACATATGTGTAGTTTGAATAAGCTGTTATGGTTGATGATTGTGTGTCGAATATCCGCGGCAGTTCTAATTTAAGCAATCTATGTGAAATCACCCTCTTGTGTTTTCGAATCGCCAGATATTTCAATAGAATAAATTGACTAAACACGTAGATCTGTCTAAAAGACAGCGAGTATATGCTAGATCTTATTCCACAGCCGCAAACCGCAAGCCTTGCATGTTGCGTGTTCCCGGGATCGAGATTTTACCAGGCACGTCGACTTTACCTAGAAAGCTTGTGTAACATCCGAAACAGGCAGTTACTTCGTATAAAGTACAAATTTTGTGCAAAATTTTGGGTCTCTGAAACATTTTTAGAATCAAGTAAATTTAATAGAACTCGCATAATGCATAAAAAAATAATCCTCTGTTCTCATCACTATTTGAATCTTCACAAATTACATAG